TACGCTGGCATGATAATGGTCTTGTTTATGGCCAAAAAATTACTGACGAGTGAGCAGGTGTATCGTGATAGAAAGCCACGAATTTTTGTTCCACAGTACAAGGTGTTTCCTCCGTATGGCTTCTCTCAAGCGGCGCAATACTCCTTATTGACCATTTAACCATGTGACAAAAACTCCTGATGCACTACGCCACGGTAATCGAAGAAAACAGTGATCAACCCCTTGACATTTCATCGAATTTGGCGTGCTCTTGTGGTCTTGGCTCACAAGCGTGAACTGTTTACGCTTGAGCTATTGTATAGCAAAACACGTGTCGCGATTTTTGTAAAATTTTGTATAGTGAAAATCATACAATAAACTATATTACCTAATTAGTAAAATAATTGAAACAATACAGGGTGTTAATTAAGTATGTACCATAAATGTAACAGACGATTCTTTAGGTAATTTCAAGATGAAACGTTCATATAAATATGGGTCCGCAAATCCTTCGTTCTCAAGATACAGGGTGTTAAAATAAAAATTAAAAAAAAGTTATTCGTAAATATCTTAAATATCTTAAATATCCCTTACCTAATTTTGTTGTAATTTGGCAATGGTATTTATAACATCAGGGGGCTAATTTAGCCTGAACGTGAGTCAATTTATTAAGTCCAGTGGCGTCTCGAGCGGGATTTGAACGAATATTTTTGACTTAAAAACGTACGCCAGTGACTTTTGTGCAATTTTTATCATTCCTTTGGATTGAGCAATTAGAAATACAACTTATTTTCTCTTGAATTTTTTTCATATCTTTCTTAGTTTTTAAGAAAAAAAGTCGACCTAATTGCATATCCCTGGACCTCATAAGGAATAATATGGGGAAATTAAATGTTTCTTTTGGAAATTATTATTCTTACAATTTTTCATTACTAATTATGTAACAATAACAACAAATATTAAATAACATTTACATCTAGACTAACGCATTGCACTGAATTAAGTGTTGTAAATGGCCTTCTTCGGCCTCAATACAACCGTCTAGCCGCCGCATCATTGAATTTCGCACTCTTCTGAGAATAACCGGCGTATTTTTATTATGTCACATGAATTAATTATTTTATTCCGTAAATCCTCTTCACTTTGAATAGCAGTTTTGTATACCAACGCATTAAGGTGTCCCCAGAGAAAATAATCTAAGGGATTCATTTTGGGCGAGCGAGGTGGCCATGGGTGTGGGCCAACATTAACATCTAGACTAACGAATTGCACTAAATTAAGTGTTGGAAATGGCCTCCTTCGGCTTCAATACAATCGTCTAGCCGCCGCATCATTGAATTTCGCACTCTTCTGAAAATACTTGGCGTATTTTTTATTGTATCACATGAATTATTATTTTATTCCGTAAATCCTCTTCACTTGGAATAGCAGTTTTGTATACCAACGCTTCAAGGTGTCCGTAGAGAAAATAATCAAAGGGATTCATTTCGGGCGGACGAGGTGGCCATGGAAGTGGGCCTGCTCTCCCAATCCAGCGATTATGGTAATTTTCATCCAAAAATTGCCGTGCCACTACACTGAAGTGTGGTGGAGCACCATCGTGCATGTACCACATACGGAATCTTTTCATGACTGGAATTTCTTCTAAAAGTCCAGGTAAAACAAATTCTAAAACCCTTCGGTATTCTTCTCCATTGAGTCTAGGTGAAAGGAAGTGAGGCCCAGTGAGATGGTCATTGCCAATACTAACCCAAATTTTAAAAGAAAACTGTTCTTGAAAATTATTTTCTATCAAGGCGTGTGGATTGTTTTCGGCCCAAATGCGATTGTTGTGGAAGTTAATAATTGAATTGCGAAAAAAACGAGCTTCATCTGTAAACAATATTCGACTGAGGAAACATGGATTTCTTCTTATTTCACCGCGTAACTAATTAAAAAAAGCTAGTCTCACAGGCAAATCTCTGGGCAATAGAGCTTGCACGCGTTGCATGTGATAGGAATATAGCTGCTGGGCTCTTAAAATCTGTCACACTGTTTCATGGGTAATATTCAGTTCTTCAGCTACTTTCCGAGTACTGGTATGAGGATTTACTTCAATCTCATTTAACCGTCGATCTTTTAAAGCTGTCTGTTTCAGAAAGTCGTGCATGGAGACGTACAAAAGGAAATATTTCATGGTAAATGCGTCTTGCAGCATTTGAGTTTCCGTGAGCCATTCCATAACAGAAATGCATATCTGCCATTTTACTATTAGTAAATGGAACCATGTTTCACAAAAATGGTTCGAAAAATAACCACTAAACACACTTTTTATATCAATTATAAATTAAAAGCTTATAAAGTTGACAACAACTGTCAAGTTGTTTATTAAATGCTGCAATCGTTTTCCAAGACAACCCTTGATTATTATTTATGGTATTTTCAGAAGAGTGCGAAATTCAATGATGCGGCGGCTAGACGGTTGTATTGAAGCCGAAGGAGGGAGACCATTTCAAACACTTAATTTAGTGCAATTCGTTAGTCTAGATGTTAACGTTATTTAATATTTGTTATTATTGTTACATAATTAGAAATGAAAAATTGTAAAGATAATAATTTCCAAAAAAAAAACATTCATTTCCCCATATTATTCCTTGTAAATTCCAGGGATATGCAATTAGGTCGACTTTATTTTCTTAAAAATGAGCAAGATATGAAAAAAATTCAGGAGACAAAAAAGTTGTATTTCTAATTGCTCAATCCGAAGGAATGATAAAAATTGCACAAAAGTCAGTGGCGTACATTTTTATGTCAAAAATTATCGTTCAAATCCCGCTGTAGACATAAAAATGACGTGAGAACCGCATATAATGACAGTATGTTCAAAGCTAAGCACCATATCTAATATATAAAAATGGATGTTTGTTGGTTGGTTGTTTGTCTACATCGCTCAATCGATCGTGATGAAACGTGACATGTATAAGTCATTTTTCATAGAGAAGGTTTTTAGGCTATCAATTTTTCTGTAACTCGCCACTAGATGGCGCTGTAGAACAATTTTTTGAAAGCACTGTTCTATAACACTGCGCACGCCTAAATTCGTTGATTCTGATTATGTCAAAACATTGGAACAGCAGCGTTACAGCAACATAGTACTAGTCTCATATATAATAAAAAAACTCAGAGAAACTGTCTCTATCGAAGTCTTAAGGTTAATTTATTTTGGATTGGCGCAATCAGTGTTGCAGTATGGCTTGCTGTTCTGGGGCTCTCCAGCACACATTGGTAAGGCATTCATTTCCCAGAAAAAAGTATTGAGAGCAATTTTCAGAGCTCATCCACGGGAAACCTGTAAACCTCTATTCCATCAGAGTCCTGACATTTCCATGCCTTTACATATTCCAATTGATAATGTATGTAAAAGAAAATGAATATTTTTGTCACGAATAGTGACATTCATGGACATAATACACGTCAGAAAGATAACATTCATGAATTATTTTCAAGATCATCGACGGGCAAAAACTCACCAAATTATATTGGCATAAAATGTTTCAATAAAATAAAAACTTTTATTGATACGAATACTAGTAAAATGAGGTTAAAATCTGATTTGCATTCGTTTCTCTACAGCAATATGTTCTACACGGTGGATGTGGATGAATTCCTTAAATTCTAAGATGATTACATATTAATATAATGGCTGTGGTATACATTTTATTTACTTTATACATTCTATACATTTTAATGTGTTATGACAAAACTTTACATTTGTCTTTTGTATTACTTTGTATTTCTATTGTTTACATTTGTGTATGAATTTTGTGGATGAATTGAAGATTATTATGATTATGATTCCATCCAGAAAAGAGCCATCCGCCTGAATGGGGACGCGAACATCACTTGCAAACTTGATAATCTGGAACATCGAAGAAAAGTTGGAGATTTGTCTCTCTTCTATAGATACTTTCACGGGAAGCCTTCAAGTGACTTGGCACATTTGATTCTACGAAGAACGGTACATTTTTGAAAAACGCGACAGACTGTGGCTGCCCCTCGATTTGAGGTTCAACTCAGTACACCTTGAACTTCACCGTTCAAGAACTCTTTGCGTTTATATAGAACGAACTTCCTGAGAACCCTTTTCCAAATGGATTTAATCTCGAGCGTTTCAAATCTAATGTGAATCACTACTTTCGCACAGGCACCGCTCTATGAGCGCCTTAAGGATTTTCATGTAGTACTTGTGTTTTGTACTTAAACAAAATTTATTTCATCTGTCAGAGAAGTTATTTCAGAAGGATGGCTGTAAATTATCTGAGAGGATCAGGAGCACTTCTCCTAGCTGGTGGATATAGGTATAGTCCTGCAGACATAGGAAGGCGTCTCTCTGAAATATCTCACAAAGTCTGTGGATTATTCTTCACAAGAACATTTTGGAGAGATTTCCAGAGTTTATCCCAAGTCCCCCTCTTGGCAGCTGACCTTAACGACCTGTGGGAGCTGGATATATTTGGTCAAAATTAGATAGGTGTGAGCCACAAAAAATCTTTCCAGATTGCGATGCAGGGACGAATGAAACCATCCAGTGCTTGTTATCACTCGTTAGAAGGTGAGACCTCGTTAATCCTCAGCTCGCACAAGTTTTGGCTCATGAGGGTTGTAGTTTCTAGGGTGGCAACAGCTGGTTAACGTTAAAACAGTTTTAGACTCACTTTGAATCTACCTTCAGGTTGAGAATGCTGTCATTTGAAATTCAAGTATGAGAACAGTTCCTAGAGAAGTTTATTCGTGTTTCTGACTGAGAACATAATTTCCACTAGATTTGGACTACATAATCTCCACTAAGTTCTGCTATTTCACTGAGCAGAAATTGCATTAAACAAAACATCCCTTAAAAAATGAAATATCGAATATTGTGTCTCCTTGAGAATTATTATTTCTTTCAATTATCACAATTTCGATTATTTGGAAATGTGATATGTGACAGACGTTCATTTTGAGTATTTTCCCATTCATTTTCCATTTTTTTTTCATTCCAGGGTCAAGTTGTGATATCATAATAAGTAGCGATACGAATAGGAATGGAACAATCATGAGTCCGTCTTATCCTTCACCATATCCACCGAAAACGACATGCAGATACGAATTCCAAGGAAGAGGAAAGGAGCGAGTTCGAATCGTCTTCCAGGATTTCAATCTGTACCACACGTCAGAAGTGACAAAAAAGTAAGTTGGTGACTGAATCAATTTTTTTGTCAATACTGATCATTATGGAATTGTACGATTTCAATTTTTGTGAAGACAAATTGTATTACACACTAGCTGTTCACCGGGACATCATTCACGTGTACTACATTTTTTGGGGTTTTCCCGATTTTCTACCAGATAAAGTTGTCATATATTTGCATACCTTCGATTCGAAAGGAAATCGTTCCATAAGTTATAAATATCAACACACTTGATTTCAACAGAATACAGTGCGTACAGTTCAACAACGTATCTTCTTTCGAATTCACCGCTACTTCGGGAGTTCCGCAGGGCTCGATTTTGGGACCTCTCTTTCTCGTGTTATTTGTTAATGATGTTTTTCGGTATACCGGGCATTCTCAGTTTCTCAATCTCAAGCTTTTCCGAAGAATCGTAAGCGAAAAAGATTCCGATATGCTTCAAGCTGATCTCAAAATAATCTATCTACTCACTTTTCAGTATCTGACATATCTCTCAACGAAGCTAAATGCGAAATAACGAGTTTCACACGAAAGAAGTCATCCACTATCAAGGACTATTTTATTAATCACACCAATTTACAGAGAATCAATGAGATGAAAGATCTCTGTATCATTTTCATTGATGTGTTCAGTTTCTCTCGGCACATTGAATACTCAGTATCTGAATATTATAGAAGAATAATCTTTGTCTTAACATCTAGCCGTGAATTCAATCACGATACTTCTTTTTTACTCTCTAACTCCGCCGTGAGTCCTCAGAAGTGATTTTTGTTTTTAAGATTCTGAACTGATATTGTTATATTTTAAATCGATTTCAACTGTATCAATGGTACTCATTGAATACTATATGTGGGAAACAATAAAAAAACTGTGCATCATGTAAGTGGAAACCATTCTGTTTGTTGTTCAGTATAAATAAACTAGACAGAGTTTCCAGTCAGTTCTGTAGATTACAACTTTTTTATTCATCAACAGATTGAAATCAAGCAAACGTTGAATGTTGAGAAAAACTTGCTACAATAAAGTAGTGAAAACCGTACCCAAATTGGTTGAGCCGTTTTTGAGATTAGCACTCACAAACAGACAGACATGCGGACAAAAATTCTGAACCTCTTCAGATTCTACCGCCTCAATGAAGACCTCCAATAATAGTTTTCTTCAAAAATCTTCCATATACAGATAGCGATCAGTTACATTTTCGTTATATGTAATTATTATTTTCCTTGATTTGAAATAATAATGAGGAACCAACAAAATAGTTCAATCCTGTGTCAATCACAATTGAAGATACAAACCAAACTACATTGTAACAAGCAAAATCCCACAAAATTTTTGAAGAGAGCATCAATTGCATATTAATCATATTAATTGACTTCAAAAACTCTACAAAAAAATCAAATTGATATACATACCTGCTTTATCAGGCTAGACCCAAGTTGGTTTGTCTTCATTCCTCATATGTTTCTACCAACCTGGCCGCGAATGAAACATCAAATTGTATCAATATAGAGACAACGATGGATTCAACAATTGAATCGTTATATTCTTTGAAATGTATGCTTCAATATATTCTCGTTTAAATGAAAAATAAGAGAATGATTTCATTTCTGGATCCATAGTAGTGTACCAGATACTACAGCTAACGACTGAGTCATGGCCGGTGGGAGAAATCATATCTACGTAAATTTTTGGGTTGGTGTATGACAAAGAAAGTATCAGGGAGAAGGGAATTCATCAAGCTATTAATTTTCTTATAGTTGATTCAGTTCAATTTTGACTATCACCATTCTCAAAATTCGATGACCTGCGCAATTTTTTTCATATTCGATTCTTTGTACTAATAGATGTCTCACCTTACTGACTGTTATGAAATTTCCTTCGTGGCTGTTATGAAAAATATATTTTTAAATATTCAAAATTTCACAGAAAAGACTCTCCAGAATAAATTAATGACGATAATAAATTGAGTATAATTGACAATTCTTCAAGATAGCATAGAGAAATGTTTTGATAAAATCACAAAAAATTTCAGGCAGTTGCTAGTCAGCTACCAGCCAGTCAATTCAATTAGATGCGTCTGTCTGTATGTTTAAAATATGTTTTTCTGTTAACAAGCTGTCGCCCCCCTATAAGAACGACAACTCTCAAAAGTCAAAACTTGTGCGAGCTAAGGACTAACGAGGTCTTACCTTTTAACGTGTGATTCCTAACACGGATTGGACGATAGAAAGTGAAAATCGATCGTCCAGCCTCGCGGTTCAAACCACCGATTCACACAGAGGTCGGTTGAGTGAGTGGAGCAAACCACCCAAGTCAACCCAACAGGCTACCATCCCACCCAGTGTTCGATAACATTGAAAAATTTCACCACATGATCTTTTCTGACAGCTCTCGAGAAAGTTCGAGAATAAAATGAATCAAATAAAGAAAAACTGAAACTTGAAACTTATATTCGATTTTTTACAAGTTAATTATAAATGGCGCATTTTTTGCGGGTTAATTAGGCGGAAAGTGGAAATTTCCTGTTAGTTCAATAAAAAGGTCTTCTTTCCGTCACAACAAATAACTTGTCCAATAGATTACCCTTTTCTAGTGTTCACTTTCACTTCAACTTTCAGGAACACCTCCAAAAAATTCATTTGTTCCACTCAATTCTTTTGTGAACTCTAAACTTTACGGTATTCTCTGAGAACCGTATTCAATTCAAAGAAAGTTTATATTATACTATAAGAGTTGAACATTAGTCTGTTCCACAATTTTTCATTTATAAATGATAGAAACGTGATGGCGACTCATATTGGAGTAAATATAGATACGTAAAAAAATACTTCAGGGGTCAAGTATAAAATAACTGAAATCTCAAATAAGTTGTAAAGCTATTGCACCCTGTATAATTCCCCAGGTACCAGGTATAATATATTCATGTATCCTTTTAGTCTCATGAAACATGTAATATTGTACTCCCGAACGTGACAGTTGATTGTTCTTGTAAACCCGTACATTTCAATAATTAATTTTTATGGTTTCGTGCTTGTCTGTAATGTTTTCGCGAAAGAAACTGCGAGAAAAGAAGTGGAGAGATCCATTTGTAGGAAATGTTTCAGATGAAGCAGACTGTAAATTAATGACAGTTTTTCTGATTTCACAAATAAAACATTTTTCCCTTACTATTTCATTCTGAGGTCACAGATAAAAAGAGGAGTTTCTTTCATAAGTTCATTGATTTTCCTGTAATATGTACGATCATTCCGATGTCATCATTAATCATTCAACAATTTTTGAATCACTTCATTTCATTCGTTTTTGAAATTCAAGTTGAATAAAAATAATTCATTGTTTCACCCTGTAGATTGTAATGAATGACATTCTGGCAGTCCGGCTTTTCATCACTGTATCATTTGAGGTTTTTTTGGAGAAAATCTAAATCTATACGAGCTCCGAACTGTAATAACTAATAGTAAAGTTAATTAGTTTTCTTGAGGCAAACTTCTTGATATCACAGAGCATGAGCAATATATCTTCAATCACACAGTAAAAGGTAGGGCCTCGTTAATTCTTAGCTCGCACTAGTTTCGGCTTTGGAGAGTTGTCGTTCGTAGGGGGACGACAACTGGTCAATCGAAAAACAGATTTTTTCAACAGAATTTGAGCCTTCTGCAGATCATACTTTGTAATCCGTGAAACAAGTATTCTGCAATCTCGTTGACTCATCCGTAGTCTAGTTAGAGTCCAATCCAACAATTTTACGGTTACTACTTCCCTGAAGTTGGGCATTGACCTGTAAGATATATCAATCAGTTTTGGACCTTTGTCCAACCATAAAAGCTGTTCAGCTTTTTTTGACAATCAGATAGCCGCTCTTTCAGTTTTGACAGTCTATTTCAATGATATCTCAGTTGGCCAGATTTCCATTGTTCTATTCTTCCCTAATGTGCATCTTCAAGGATCCAAAGAAAAATTCTTTCCCAAAGAAAACAGTTACAGTTCCTCTTCTTGCGAGTACATAGCATTTTTTTCCAATTTTCTTATGACATAGTACTCCCACCAAGATTACTTGATTTCTCCATGCTATTTGTATTGTTTTTGGAGTCCTGAGACAGCTCAGATTCGAATACAAAAACCTTGTTCTGCTTGGCCTCATAATTTGCCTCACAACTACCTCTTTTAAGATACTCCAGAACACATATCTGTGTACCAAGTAACTGAGATATGATGGAGGTGGATCCAAGAGGTTTGGATAAATAGAATATTCACCTTGAGGGCCCATTAGTAAACTGTTCCCTCTCTACTGAGGTTCGTATTATTGATCTAATTGGTAGCTGTTTATATCTCTCTAAGTTCTTTTCGAAAGCTTATCTAACTGACATAACATCTCTGGGTTTTGACATAGGTTTCGATGAGATGAAATTTCTAGATTACACATGATCTATCTAGTATTTCAAACCTACATCCTTCCAAAAATTCCTTTACATATTTAGGTTGCTGGTGTAACTTTGGCAAGAATTTCGTTCAGTCCATCTTTAAATTAGGTAGAGGTTAATTAGCATGTGGAATTCATAGAATACGGAAGACAAATGATACTTTAAAATCCGAGATACTTTCTGACACTTTAATCAATGAATATTTTTGTTACAGTTGTGAAAACATGGATTCCCTAAATGCTTTCATCAACATTGACGGCAGGATGGAGAAAATCGACAATTTTTGTGGTAACGTTCTACCGAAGCCCATCATGTCGAATGGGCCCAGACTGAAACTTGAATTTCAGAGTTTAGTTGCTTCGAGGTACTCAAGAGGATTTAAAGCAACGTACTCTTTTATCGAAAGTGAGTTTTTTGAAACACATACTTCCCAAAATATAGAGTAGGTGACAATTTGGCCTTCGTTGAAGTCAAGGCGATGACATCTTCCCTCACAGTATCTATGGAATCTTCAAAGGAATACCAAAAGATGAGAGACTTCCCAAAGAGCAGCATGTTGCAGAACCAATATTTTTCATCGAATGCCTTCACTTTCTCTGGCTTTCAATGAGAGTTGAGTCCAAGCATGAGTTCGTGGTTCAGCGTGGTACAACTCATGAAGCCTTGGTAGATCGAAATAGTGCTTTTTTGTGCTGAATCACGCATGCTTGGTTTTTGGGCTTTATTTTCTACCAAATGACTTTTGTTGTTCAAAAAAAGGTGAATTTGCAATTTCTACCTCAAATTATGGCTACGCAGGTACTTGAGCTTCAGACTGGAGCTCAAGTACCTGCGTAGCTCCAGAATGAAGCTCAAGTTATTTCTAAATAGCAATAGTATCATTGCAAAACGTTCAACTCTTCAAGTGGGGGTGTCATCCTCGATTATTTTAATGAAAATTGGGGTGGAGTGATATCTCATTGAAAACGAGAAATGCCTTATCCATTACTGCTCAGGCTTTTGGGAGTCGTTCATTCTTTCGAAATATATGGAGTTTTAAAATAACATCAAAACTTTTTTCGCAAAATGCAAAAGTTAAATCAATTTTGAAAGACAACCATGATTTGGAAGATTCACACTTTCTTTGTATCAAGATGGAGTAGTAGAAAGCCAAAAACTTCCTTTCCCACAACAATGATGATATCAATCAAAATATTGAAAATAAGTTCCTTCGGAACAATTCGCAGTTATTTGTTGCCAAAGAATTCAGTTTATATGGTGTTCACTTTCGAAAAGGATGCATGATAGGGCTTTTTTCAATTATAAATAAGGAAATCGGGTTATCAAAGCAACGACATCCTGACAAACATCTTCCTGAGAAAATTGATAGTGAATTGGTATTCACCTCTATATTTTCTGAAATTCTATCAACCTAGATCTCACTTATATTATACAGATTGATTCTGATTATATTGAAGAAAAAATAATACTTCAAAAAAATAGCGAGCGGCAGCTCGTTAACAAAAAAACTTTTTTTTTTCTAATTTAATGCAGTTACATAAAAAACAGAGTGTGCCGTAGTCCACCTATGAGGATGAATCATCAATTTATCGATGTATGAGGGCCAAGAAGTACGACAACCGTTCAAAGATAACCTCTATGTTGAGATTGGCAGAAAATGAATCTAGCATTCACCTTGAATGGGATTCATCAAAGTTTTTCCATTTTTGTCAGCATCACAAAATTCTATATATTCCAAAAAGTAAACCGACTTTCGAAAGCAAAGTGGCAGTATATGAGTAGTCAGTTTCTCATTCTTTCTCTAACAAAAATTGAGAATAACACCATAGAAATGGTTTTTGGAGAGAAGCTTGAAAACAACCTAAAATTTTTTCGAAAAAATCTTTCATTGGCAATTAAGTCTGGCGGTACACCCTGTATGGCCACTATACTACAAAAAATGCATTTGATTCAGAAACATCACCTATGAAAAGAATTGGAATAATTTTTGTTGAATTGAGAATGAAAAGTACTTCGGGAATAATTATAATTCAACGAATAAGTACCGATGAGAAATTCTGAAATTTGATTTGAATGAGACTATTACATCAAAAATGAACTGCTTATCGAGTTAGTGACTGAATGTGCAACGGCATTTTTATAGTGTACAAATACATCTGCATACCCTGATTCATATATTATGCAAAAATGTTGCTTATATCAATTTATTGGGATCACTTTAAACAAAATTTATAGAGTCTATAAATTGCGAAATGGCGGTAAAAATGTCAGTTCAGTCTAAGTACTTTCGAAGCAATAACTCATTAATTTTCCACAATTTTCAAGTAGTTCTAGGTTAATGGCAAGAGACCACTTGAATGGTCCCATTTTTGTGATGATTTATGAAAGGAAATATCAAAACAGTCGAAATTCACTAGGCTAGATGCATTGAGCGATTAGTTATCGACTTTTTCATAATGGCAGCCATTAATATCAGCCATCACTCCTGAAAACTGCTTTGTAAAAATTCTTGTGGAACTAATTCATACTTAGATATTCATAACGTAATGTGAATAACTACTGTTTCGAATTAGATATCTGAATTGAAAAACGTTACTAAGTACTTTACATTTTCCATTGGTATTAATCTTTCCTCAAAATATTGATACTTAAGGTACATACTGAAGCCTTTTCTGGTAATTGCAATGCATATATATGTTCTAGTTTCATAGCCAAAATATTACAATATTTTCATACGAGAGCCCAATATTTTGGTAATTTTTTTTCAAGAATTGCAAATCTCTTACCAGACCATTCAGTTCATCATCAGTTTTTCTTTGTCATTGTTTAATATGATACGTTGATGATACCTTCATAATATGGAATCATGGTTATGCAGAACTAGTCACCTTCCTGGAGCACATCAACAACGTCCTTCCATCACTTTCACAATGGAGAAGTAAGTCCACGACGAATTGCCATTCGTAGACGTATTGGTGAAGAGGACCGACACTAAATGGAAACAGCTGTATACCAAAAACCCACTCACACGGGACAGTATCTGAACTAGGAATCCACCACCATCAATCGACTAAGAGAGCTTTCGGGCTCTGTGATACAAAGGAAGGTTTCGAAAAGGAACAAGGCATCATCAAAAATGACATTCAACGGAATAGTTACCCCAAAGTGATAGTGGAATAGACTTTGGCTAGAAGACAGCAAGAGCCTCACAAGAAAGAGAAGCCGCCACAACCAGTACTTGTCCTTCCCTACATCAGATTGGAATTCAAGTTATACGTTAACAAATGTTTGTTTCTATGTAAAAATAGACTAACGAAACCAATATTGATTGTACTACGTCTCTTAACGGCATATTTTTTTCAGATTTTGGTATAACGACTGGTACCCAGTTACAGACTTACCCCTGTGCCTTCGTATTTAATAGTAACGAATCCAGAAGTGGATATTTCCATAGTCCAAACTACCCTGGACTATATCCCAGAGATACCGAATGCCATTACTTCCTTTATGGAAATGCATCGGAAAAAATACATCTGCACTTCGAATACTTCGATGTGGAAGGAGTTTTGCCGTAAGTTGATTACTGAATTTAACCCATTTCATGAGAGACCGTGTCATCGGTTCACGGTTAAGAAAATTGAAGATATTCAATTTGACTGAATTCGTGTAGCGAATGAAACAGGCCCTGCAGAGGCGTCATTTTTTCCAGAAAATGGGGGGGAATTTTTTTGCACTGTTATATTCTTCATATCACCCTGCATCAACTCCTCACCAGCATCGTTCATCTATACAGTCAGGAGGTTCACTGATTTCTCGTCCCTCTTTTTGACTTCCATCAAGAGAATATAGAGGTTTGACCGTGTGACCTTGACTACAGACCTGAATATTTTCTAGACAATAAACTTCTTCATTCTTTCTTGTTTTTCCTCAGCAGTCCACTTTTATCTCCAATTCCTTTCCACACCACTGTATTTTCCAATACATGTTTTCCTTTCTCTTCTTGACTACTGTTTGGGAGTAGAATTTACATCATTTCCCTCTTCTCTTTTCGTCAGACTCTTGAAATTTTCTATCTACGATTTTTTTTTGGAATTTGCACATTTTCCCTGTTTTACCTTGAGAATTCCTCAATTATCAAAATGTATTAAAGCATTCCTCTATTCACCAGTCTCCTACGGCATACTCATTCACCTCATTTGATTCGCAATACTTTTTATATTTGCCATGGACTCTTTCTCACAAAGTATCTCTCTGTTCTGATAAACAACCTTATTTTCCACTCAATCTCTTGATATATCGCGGATTTTTGCTTACCGCCATTTGGACCTTCCTATTGAACTGGATTTGGTTGATGGCCCAGTCGACTATGATCATTTTCTCCCCCATGCTACTAACCAACATCATAGCAAACATATCATGCTGCTCCGCCCGCATGCATGAATTTCTTTGTCGTTATCACTGTCCTTAATCACTTTTTATTCCCTACTTAGATCATTTTTTGAATAGCACTCATTTTTGTCTATTCCCGCACCACATGGGTGGTGAAATTGGTGATTCAGCCAAACTGTGAAAATCTCCATCATTTACCATAATTCATAACAATCTTCAGAGTTCTAACTCTACATCATGTCCTGTCATCCATTTCGTTTTGATTGGACAAATTTTATTTTTTGCCGAATTCATTGGTATCTATAATTCGGCGAATGCGCGACATTTATAATTTGGTGTGTTCTTTGAGCCTATAATTTGATGTTTCGGTATATATGATTTGGCGAATTCGCACGTGTCTATAATTTGGTGAATGCATATACTGTTTTGATTTTTTGATAGCGTCTTACTGAAGAATGATTTGAAAGAAACTCAACAAAGCTTCGGATTCTGAATATTACTGGAGTTTTTTCCCCAACACCAAATCGTTATTTTTACACCTCGACACGTGTTTCGATCACCAAGTGATCATCTTCAAGAGGAAGATAAAACTAAAAACTACTCAAAACTAAAGCTACTTATACTAGTCAGGTACATCATACAGGTAGGTAATCAGTAATACCACCCATACAAGTGTACCACCCTAAATTAATTTTACAATTGGCTTTTCTATTATTTTACAATATGTCCTTATGTATGTATAAATGTTACAGCTATAATATATAGAACAATTTTCAGCATTATAAAATTAGTTTCACAATATTGCCTATCTAAATATATTTACAATGTGTCTTTTTTTAGTAATCAGTAAACCCAACAATATTATTTCAACAAGCTATATAGTATCCGTGTCGAGGTGTAAAAATAACGATTTGGTGTTGGGGAAAAAACTCCAGTAATATTCATTACTACACCAAAGGTTCCAAACAGTACATCACAAGTACTTCGGATTCTGGTTGAGTACCCGTTATCATTCAACAAAAATGAGCAAATGAACACGATCTATTGTTCTATACGTTATTTAACTTGTCATTTAGGGGTTTTTTTTTCTGTTGAGCGATTTTGGGTTACACTTATACACAAAAATATTAGGAAACATCAGTAAACATAACTTGTTCAGTGAAACGTGGTTACATAAATCCTGCGTTCTGTTTAGCGTAAGCTAAACTCCGCCAGTATAAATATCTCAAAACGGTAAGTTGAACATGAGAGGTCCTTCAGACTAGTTAAAAATGATTCGACATTTTCAAACTATTCTTTGGAATGCAAACATAAGTTCCCGAATCTAAACGACACGGAAATTTTGCACTATTCAAATGATTTTATTCTCTACATCGATCATTTTTTGAATAACATTCATTTTTGTCTGCTCCCGCACCACCTAGGTGGTAAACTTGCTGATTCAGCCGAACTGCGAAAATCTCCATCATTTTCCATAGTTCAATAATTATCATCAGAGTTCTAACTCTACATCATGTCCTATACGTCTGTCACCCATTTCGTTTTGAATGGATGAATACAGGGCCGTCGCCATGGGGTGGGATGGGGGGGAGCCCCCTCCTGCTTTTTTGACTTGGGAAAAAGTTGAGAAAAGTTGGGAAATTTTGGGCCATGAAGATAGAAAAAAATAATTGTGAAAAATGAATGAAAATTAAAAAAAAATAGAAATGAGAGAAAAGAAAAGGAGAGGTAATAAAAAAAGGAAAAGAACCAGGAGAAGGTTGGGATTTCCCAACATGCATAACTTGAAGAGAATTCTGAGTTGTTTGAAATCTTCAAAAAAGTTTAATTTCTCCCAAGTAAGAGAACAGTCCTGAAGAGTCCACAAATTTTGACGTGACAATTTTACAAAATTCCCAACTTTTTGCTGTTTTTCCGACTTGGGAAAGTTGGGGAATTTCTGGCCGTGAAGATAGAAAAAATAATAGTAGAAAACAATAAGCACAATATCATTTAAGTGTTGTTTTCTTTCATTTGTATTGAATATTCCTATACATGGTGGATATGGTGGAATACCAAGGACCTTGGTATAAAGTAGAATAATTCCCATTATTATTTTTATAATCACCAAAATTTATTTTTGTTTGTGCATAGCCTAACTGGCATAATCATTCAGCCAAGTAATAGCTAAGTAATAAAATTAATATATTATAGTAGTAACTAATCCCTCGGCTTTCATTTCTTCGAAAGTTGGGAAATTTTGCTGGTGGAGTTAGGAAAATTTGGATTCCCTCCCCCCTGGTTTTTCTTTTCGCTTCGGCCCTGGATGAATAGTTTGAATTTTTGTCGAATTCATCAGTATCTATAATTTGGCGAATGCACAAACATTTATAATTTGGCGATTTCTCTTGGGTCTATAATTTGCTGTTTTGGTGTCTATGATTTGGCGGATTCGTGTGTCTATAATTTGGTGAATTTATCCACTTTTTGGTTTTTTGATAGCGTCTTATTAACGAATAATTCAAAACTTCTGATTCTGGTGAAGTACCCGTTATTATTCAACAAAAATGAGCCAATTAACACGATCTATTGTTCTGTAGGTTATTTAACTTGTCAGTTACAAGATTTTCTTTCTGTTGGACGATTCCGAGTTACACTTATACACAAAAAAACATAATTTGGTCAGTAAAACGTGGACTGCGCTTATATAAATCCTGCGTCCTGTTTGGCGGAAGCTAAACTCCGCCAGTATAAATTTCTCAAAACGGTTAAAAAAGATTCGACGTTTTCAAACCATTCCAAACCATAAATTCCCGAATCTAAACGATACGGAAATTTTTTCACCATTCAGGCAAGGGTTGAAAACCCAATTATATGGAATCCTTAGAAATTCACAAACATAAGCATTGCGGATGTAACCTACTAAATGACCAAATAGATCAGCTCTACTTACCGGTTTTCAGATAAGCGTATCTACTCACATTGTCCCAGGTAAACAAAATTCAGGTAATAGGAAAAGCCACTTAGGACCGTCTGTTATTACCGACAGGGGTTTTTATAGGTATGTGTACATTGTTTATTGTATTCGTTTCATAATGTCCTTGTTGGACCAAACTGCAGTAACGTTGGTTACAAATACAAATGGTATAAAAACAAAGAAAGATTTAATTCACATTTTCCATGATGATCTCCTTCTACATAGTAACGGCTACATCCATCAATTCATTGAAAGACTACGAAATTCATCAGATGTCATGGTTTGAAAAGTTTTCAGTTTTGATATCAATTGACACCATTCTGTAGTATGTACAAAATTTTTTGAAGGGCTCATAATTCTTGAATTATTATCTCACCTTATTGAATTTTGCAGATGTGAGGCAGTATCGGCTAGTGACTATGTAGAATTCTCAAACTACTTGACAAGGGACCGAAAATATTCGAGATATTGCGGACAACTGAAGGAATTCGACATCGAATCTGACCGCAAATTCTTCAGGGTGACTTTCAGGTCCAATGATAGGCTGGACGGAACTGGATTCAACGCGACATATCACTTCTTAGACGAAGTGGAGTCCTTGGCGAAGAAGCCAAGCGATAAATCGGACTCACCGAATCGAAAAGACGGTAGGTAATTGATTTTTATGTGGCATTAAATATATAGGTATGTGTGAAGTACAGAATGGCATTTTCAAAATGAGCAATGAACGATAATTTTGGGAGCGATGAACAAATATTTCAGCTTCATTATATCACAAAAAAAAATATATTAGTTTTTTGGAGTTCATTGTCCTTTTGTTTCTAGATAAAATCGGAAAAACGTGAAAAGATTTTTAGATCTCTTAGTCAGAAAAACTCCTGATCGAACTTGCATATACTATAACAATTTTCAATTGAAGGTGATTCATTAGCAACGTTGCACTTGAAGTGATCAACGAATAATCCTCTTACCAAGTCTGCAGAGGCGTACCAAAATAATATTTTTATCTAATTAAACACATAGGTAATTACGTAAAAATTGTTATAGTAGGTGGCGCTACCTGGTGTCAATGGTAAAACTGATTACATTTTCTTATTATGCCAATACAGTACTTCAAAAAAACTGAAAAATTCACAAAATTATTATTATGTTCCTTTCATAAAGAGAACTACAAAGCAAAGAAATAATTACCTATGTTATGCTTATGAAGTTTCAGAATCCATTGACTCGTCCGAAGAGGAATCCCCAGTCACACTTAAGTCTATTATTATTTGGTCGAAAACAGTGTCTACCATCCCGTCAAATCTCCACAGTTTCTCTTCTTCCTTGATCACAGGGGCTACAGCATTAGCCCAATCTTCTTTCCGTATCCGTTCCATTGCGAGTTCCAACAAACGTTGGACATTAGAAATTTTATGTGTCACGTTTTCACGAGCTACGTAACCCTTAATTTGAGCCCAGATTAATTCTATCGGGTTTAACTCGCAATGTTAAGGAGGAAGTCTCAAAATGGTGATGCCTTCAGCACGAGCTATTGTATCCACCACATGCTGGCGAAATCTGTCACGATGCTGTTCAATGAAACTCATAAGCTAACCAACTCTGCATGTCTGATTTTCTAGTGGTCATAGTTGGCAGCTGTTCTACTAATCGGCTGTAATAAGAAGCGTTATCCATTACTATTAACGAATTTGGCTCGACTCGTGAAAGAAGGGATTCAAACCATCCTTCAAAGCGTTGGGTGTCCATCTCTAAATCTATTTGAAATCTGGTTTTCCGTTAATCAGCTGTCGCCCCCATACGAATGACAATTCTCAGAAGTTGAGAAACTTGTGCGAGCCAAGGACTAAAGAGGTCTTACCTTTTAACGTGTGATTCCTAACACACATGAAAAAATTGAAAACCGTTTCGAATATTTTCATTAGCACAGGAAATATTGACAAGATTGTTGAATCTTGACTGTTGATCGATGATGAAACAAATCAGGCGTGTTGAATATGAACATAAGTTATTGCTTAGTGAAAGACGTGTTGCGGTTTTGTGTAAACTGTTTAGTGGAAATCTCACTCTGAAATGTTACAAAACTATGGACTGTCTATTCGATTTTTTTTTATGAAAGAGTGTAAACTTAAACGTCCGTAGATAGCTGTGACATCTATTTTCCGGGTTTTTTTGCCGTTATCTGCAAGTTTTGTGCCTGACATTTCATATACAACTGCGGTAGACGTTTTCAATGGCAATGAGGCAACGGATGAAGTTTTCTGATTTGTCCCCATAACAGATACAGACTTGCTTTGGAACTCTGAATTTGTGAGTGGCTTGCTTTATTATTTCAATTGAATGCTCTGAAAATAGTGAAATTAAGTACAGGTAGCCAAATTTTATTATTGTTGATTCGCTCTTCCTTTTTTCGCCGCAATTGGGAAATACCCTGTAGATTATGTGATTCTGGTAGATTCAGAACGAAACATCAAAATAACTGGCTCATGTATTTAGGAACCCTTTTGAATGTCTACATTTGATCTTGAAGCCTTTCCATGGAAGAGTCTAATGAGCAAAGTATTTGATACCCTCGACTCCCAAAGAACTGATACTAAATTGAAATCATTTTTTTACCCCCTGATTATTAGAATCATGTATTACTTGTTTTTTCCAGGTTTGAGGTTGCTGCTCCTTCTCTTCATCTTTCTACTGACCAAACTGGGAACATAATCACATGAAGCAGGGAGTTTCTGAAGCAATAATCAATTTATCTAAAAGTGTTTAACACTCAAGTGATTTTTAAATAAAAGTTATTCGAGAAACAATAAATGAAGTGTACATGAATGGATGTTTTTCCATGATGAGTGGTATTTTATGTTGAACTGTAGAACTGTTCACAATTATGTTGATATTATAGTATTTTATATAATTGTCTTGTTTCCTTTCATTTTCAGTACAAGTAGAAGAAGGAATCAAAAACATTCAAATCCGTTTCTATTTGTCGATTTTTTATATTACTCAACGCAAATATTCAAAAATTAATTTGAATCGAAACGTTTTATAGATAAGTAAAGAAAAACCTTATGAACCCAAAACGCGAAGCAACAAATGTAATTTGATTTCAAGTTAAATATTATATTATAATGCTATATTTTGTATATACTAGTTCAAGATATTTGAGTTCACGCTCTGTAATAATTGATTCGAAAACAGCATCAATGTTTTCTACTACAACACGAAATTCTTCAAATTGATGGGTCAGAAGCGGCAGCCATTGAATTTGGAAATCAATGATGAATATTGATAGTGGTTGGTAATTTATTGCGACATTGTAGACCAAGTCACAAGTACACTGCTAAATCTAGCATTACTTATACTCGTACTCGACTATTGGCACCATCTTACGGCAACGGCACTTAGTCACAAGTGTAATGCTAAATTTAGCATTTAGTATAATGCTAAGTTTAGCATTATACTTGTGACTAGGTCTAAATTTAGCCAATAGTCAATATTTCTATTAATTTCAGTCATGAATTGATCTTTGATAAATGATGTTGCCAAAAGTGTCATTCCTCCTCATAAACAAATAGTTGAGGTTACCGCAAAAACCGCAAAAGTTGACATTCGTTAATGTATTAGGATTGTGTCAAATTTAAAAATTATTCATTATTTTCATATATATTCATTATGTTGTTTCCTATTTTGGTAGTTTATAGAGGACTGGGTGAAGTGAGGCGGAATCGTTTTTTTGTGAAACTAACAACAGACGTTAAAGAAAAATGTGCATTTCAATATCATTGAAAGGGCTATTCAGGTTTGTGAATAAAAATGGAAAGTAATGCTCGTGTCATTTTTGACCAATTTACATATTATGATGTTAGCAGGTGCGTTTTGTTCTCACTATTCTCATAGTGAGAATAGTGAATCATAGTGAGAAGAGTCAATTCCGTCAAAAGTTTTCGCTATTTCTACTCGACTTATGTTGGTCGAACAGAGAGAGCGAATAACTTATAGCAGGATAGATAGATCTGGAATAAATTAATGCGAACATAACCTACTTGACTATCACTATAAAAGGTCCATAAATGTAACATCACTAACTTGTAAAACACTTTAATTTTAGTCCAGTAGATAAACAGAAAAGCAAACGTGTTTACTCACCGTAATATATTTCCATTCCAACATTCACATGAAAATTAAATTTGTTCACAACGCACACAAACTGACAAATATATCCCAAAAGACAAATATATATTTGATGATAAACGTTGTTTATAGTTTTAGATTTTTGTAGATTCACAAAATGAATGTTTGACATCTCTAACATGAAAAGACAAATTTTTTTGATCCACGTATTGCTTCAGTGATGCCCACACTAATTCGATGGGATTCAAATGTGGGTGGTAGACTGATAACAGATTTCTACACATCTACTGCACATCTTGAGGGAGGGGCTTCTCACCGGCCATGACTCAGTCCGGCAGCTGTACATCTGAATTTACATCATTACGTAGTAGAATATGCAACACACTGTACAGTTACACGAACACCGATATTAACGGTATGCAGTGTTCTTTTAAAAAAGTGGCTCACATACATGAAGTCGAGTGAGCAATATCTGTCGATAGATTTACATGAAAATTCTACAAGAAATAAGTCGCTACACCAGTGTATAGGCATTTTGGTTCATACAAATGTCTGTGAATTGATTGTTTCCTGTTTTCCATTCACATAAAATATGACAAGTTGTCTATATTATATGTATCTGTTCTGTTTTCCACCTTCACATTTTGTGACTTCATAACCAGAGTTTGATTATGGATAAATGGTTCTTCAATGAGTCATAATGACAGTTATGAATTTTTATCACATGAGAAATTTCACGTGGTGTACTTTTCTGAAAACTACACAAATAGCGATTGCAAGTGGTAATGATTAGATGTAGTGTCAAAAATGTATAATGATCATGTCAGACGGCATACCAGTGTCGAATTTACGATTCTATGAGTGATAATTTGATTCATCAAATTCACTCCGAATATGAAAAAAATTGTCTAAGTCCTTAGGCATAAACATATGAACACATGTTCATATGTTCATTTGTGATGTACAATTGGGTTGATGCTGTATATCACCTAGAAATTGAAAGCATTTGTAAAAATTTTAAAATAATAAAACTTCTGTTGAATCGTCTTCAATAACATCTTTATTACTAATGAATAAATAATATAAATAGAATACTAACTTTGGTATGCAGATGTCAAATTAAATTACAGGGTTGTGATAACTCTAAACCTAATTGTACCATTTAATGATGTGACCATTGAATAAACTTTCCAGTTCATTCCACCTTAAATCCCTTCTTCACAAAAATTTATTATGCAACCCTAGAAACATAAAAATTAGTTATCAAGTAAAGTATTCGTTTGAAAAAACTTAGCCTAAGAGTTAGCCAACTGAGAACTTACAATTTTCGAAAATTAAAAATAAATAAAAAACAAATTATTTTTCATTCAAGAGAGTATAGCAGAAGTATGCAGTGTGATCAAAATCTTAAAATTTCATTTGAGGTTTCCAAGATAAATTTATTTGAGGTTTCTAAGATGACATTCCTCACATGAAATTTTCAAATGTTCCATCAGTAGTTTTGGAATTATGTATCAAATGAGAACTATTATATTTGTTGAGGTTTCAAATTTTCAGTGCATCTTCAGGGTTAACATAATATAATCGAAAGTTAACATAAAAACGATCCCTTAAAAATGTTTTGATGAAAAATGAACCAGGTCTTCCATTTTGTTAATTTTCTACATTTATGTCAACATTTTCTCCAATCCACATAAATTAAATTCTCAAATGCTGGGTTCCGTGAAACTCATCCATTTTTAAATATTCAATTATGACTTGGCTGTCTACCTAAACGGGAGCCGCAATCACAACATTTTTCAGTCAGTTTCCTGAATATAAAAAATAGAATTATGTGTTTGAATATAATAAAACACTATTGACATAATACTTCGAAATACAATTGAGGAATTTATACCAGGAGTACAACAATTTCAATGCTAATTGATTCCATTAATGTATTTCTTTGCATATGTCAAACTAATAATAATTTTTGTATCGAGATGGAGTAACAAAAAGCCAAAAACTTTCTTTCCCAAAAAATGTAATAAAACTTTTGCATTTCCATCGAACTCAGTTGCATTTGATGCAATCGTGATAAACCATCAAAATCTCATGGAAACTTTCTTTCTATTCACCAAATTTTGAATATTGTATGATGTGAATTGAGTAATGAATGGTAGTTGAAAATTGTATCTTTAATAAAAAGTACAAGAATAAACTCTGCTTCTGTGCAAAGCAGAATTATGAAGTCCGCTAAGAAATTTGAATTTTTTAAGAGAATGTAAATATGTGAATGTAAATATGTGAATTATTGTTAATATTTTCTTATCCTGAAGGGGTATTTTTTACGAGATTAATTTTTGTGAAAGAGATATGTTGACTCTACACAAACAAAATGTGGGAACCTTCCAAGGAAATAAGAAAATAATCATTTTCAAAAATACCCACTTTACACACACCTTTGTGAAGAGTTTGTTTTTGAAATTGATTAGTTTTCTTCCTTTCTTTGGAAGATTCCCACAATTTTTTGTATCAAGTCGAAACCTTTCTTTCCCAATTATTTTGTTTCATCCATGCAAACCATAAATAGATTTTTGTAAAAACATGTAAAATGAAATGTTATGACTAAAAGGTAAATAAGAAACCTAACCTAACCTGAAACATTTATATACAAATTTTTGAATGCCTTCCAATGCTAATATTTTTCACTCGTTTTAAATTCATCAATTGAGTTTTCGTGTCTAAAAAAATCAATTCAAACTCATGCTTGACCCATTTATTCCACCATTTTTTTTTCTTTTCAATAATTGGAATATCAACCCCAATACGGAAATTGAGTGAGATTTATGATAAAAAAACCATTGTGTTATACCAATTCAAAAAACAAAAACTGCGCTACATGTCATAGATTCTTTTTTCTCTTGAACTTGGAGTGGGATTAACATACTTTTCCATTCTTAAAAAATATTCAATGAAGAAAAAATCAAACTTACATAATACTTATCCTATTTATTCTAACTATATACAAAATATTGTAACATATATGGGTGGGCATTATATACAAACGTGAACCAACTGCTGCAACATATCAGAAGGATTTTTTGACATTAAAAAAATATAAAACACAATTGAAATGGGTGTATTTTTAGAAGAAAAATATTTTTGGAAAATAAATGTTTTGGCTATATACCTCTCTATCTTCATACAAAAAAAATGTAGGAACCGTCCGTGTGGGAAAAATAAACTCTTTACAAAGATGTGTAGATCATGCGACGAAGTAACTTTCAGACGGTAATTCGAAAGAAAAAACCCTCTCAAAACAATGACTTTCAAATAAACATTGAATAACACAACAGAAAAGATTCTTTCGAAACAACTGCTTTCATATGAACATTGATATACACAAAAAAATGCTGTTTCCTAATGAGGAACATGGCATTAAATACCTATGTAGTACAAAATATAACCCCACTTTAATCAAATGTAACAAGCAGGAGCCTCATATGTAGTAGGAGAGGTTAGTCTACATTTAGATGGTTTTTGAAATGGAACATTGCATTTTTCACAGATGTTGTATCCCATTCAATATCTGCCTGAAATAATTGTCATGAAAGAAATTACCGTCTATTACGCAGTTGCTTGTCGATAAGCAATGCGATACAGCAGTTTTAAAAACCTCTAAGAAAATTTTACATAACTAAGGGGATAACTGTGTCAAAGCCATTTTCCGGATTTGTTGGCCGTGGTCTACAGGTTTTTATGCCTGACGTTTCGTCTAAGACTGCGGTAGACATTATCAAAGTCGCACATTATGAAGTCAGGCAAATATTTTGCAATGAACAGGAAATAGATCGGAGCAAGTACTTTCTTCTGCTGAAGGAAGAACTACTAAACTTAAAAACAAAGATAATGAAGAATCAGTAGAGGCTCTTGAAACCTACAATCTCTAAAAGTAAACAGAATTACTTTCTAAAGAAATGAACTTTAAATGCCGAGACGGGCTTGAACATTTAAAGTTCATTTCTTTAGATTTGTTTACCGCCCGTCTTCAAGCATAGCCCACTGCCTAATAAGAAAGTTTTTCTTCCTTATTCAGAGGAATCGAGCAAATTTCAGATATGCAGTTGGTAAGTACCTCGTCCACTAGATGAAGTGACATTTTTTATGTTCACTCCAACTCAAGACGAGTAATGAAATAATCTGAAAGAATTTCGATTTTCAATTATGGAATATCATTGACTTTAGGTCGATGATGGTCACTATCTTGCACTGATGAGTGGCCAAGGAGCCCGAAACCGGTCTGCAAGTGTGCCCGTTCCAAAATTGAAGGTCGACTCTTTCAGTTGTATTGCCAATTGCATATGCAGGAAATTTTCTGTGAAGATTCCTGCACTGACGCCTGTCGGATAAAATCCAACGCCATACGTGGTATTAGCCAGTGGAGTAGTTGTTTTCTGATAGGTGTCAGTCCATTCAACCTACTGTGTAGATATATCCGAGACGGGCTTGAACATTTTAAGTTCATTTCTTTAGATTTGTTTAATGCCTGTCTTCAAGCATAGCCCACTGACCAATAAGAAAGAATTACTTTCCACTAAAATATTTTCTGAATATCCTGAAGCTTCATACCATACCAAGGAGGTAGAAATGAATCATTTTGACGCAAATTTGGAGAATTATTGGGCCACAATTCAAACCCACTTCTCCTGTTCACTAGACATTTACCGACTACGCTATCAGAGCAGAATGGCCATCGCAATCTTTTGTGATGTTAATGCGAGAAGTATAAAATTTATCGGTCGGATAATATTTTTGCCAATTCAATTTTACTTTCATTCATGTCTACATACTGTCAATCCAATCTTTCATGTTGATTTGAATGAATACTATGACATAGTACAAAGAAACTCAACCTATCGGATATTTCAGTTCTGCAATAATAATAATGTTGATTAAATTTTACTAGCTCAACTATTTTATTTTTATGAAAGTACTGAGCTTTCTACATTTTAACAAGAAATAATAGTAGCGACACTTATGCTATATAAATAAAAACTATCTAACCTAATTTAAATAATATTTTATAATACATTTCAAAACTTAAAATATATTGTGCAATGGAGACATTAAATTGAGTGAACTTTATATACAAAATTTAAATACACATTATCATTGGATGGTGGACAATTATCCAAATAATTCAAATACAGAAAATACAAGATTATCTAGCCTAATTTCAGAAATATTTTTAATACATTTCAAAACTTAAAATATATTGTGCAATGGAGACATTAAATTGAGTGAACTTTATATACAAAATTTAAATACACATTATCATTGGATGGTGGACAATTATCCAAATAATTCAAATACAGAAAATACAAGATTATCTAGCCTAATTTCAGAAATATTTTTAATACATTTCAAAACTTAAAATACATTGTAACATAGTGAAATCGAGTGGAGTGACCTTTATATACAAGATTTAAATAAACTTATCACCATTGAAAGTTGGACAATTAGCCAATACCATCTAATCCATTTAAAAACAGAAGATACAAGAATATCTAACCTAATTTAAGAAATATTTCATAATACTCTAAAACTGAAAATACTTTGTACAATGGAGACACTAAATGGAGTGAACTTTATATACAAGATGTAAATAAACATATTACCATTGGAAGTGGGACAATTATCCAATTTCATTTGAATACTTCAAAAGAAGACACAAGATTATCTAACCTAATTTAAGAAATCTTTTATAATACATTTCAAAACTTAAAATACTTTATGCAATGGAAACTTCAAATGGAGTGAACTTCATATAATAATAATAATAATAATATTTATTGGCAATTATACATTGTTCAATGTCACAAGTTGTACGAGGCAATTTCCGAATAAATATAGAATTCCCACATAGGGATATACCTGTGCGTGGGTTATACAAGATTTACAAGATTTAAATAAACTTATCACCATTGGAAGTTGGACAATTATCCAATTCCATCCAAATAATTCAAATACAAAAATTACAAGATTATGTAACCCAATTTAAGAAATATTTTATAATACTTTGAAACTTATAATACTTTGAAACTTAAAATACTTTGTGCAATGGAGACATTAAATGGAGTGAACTTTATATACAAGATTTAAATAAACATATTACCATTAGAAGTTGGACAATTATCCAATTCCATCTAAATAATTCAAAGATTATCTAACCTAATTTAAAAAATATTTTATAATACATTTCAAAATCTCAAATACTTCATACGATGGAGACTTTAAAAAAACGTACATCATTGGAAGTTGGATAATTATCCAATTTCATCTGAATAATTCAAAAACAGAAGAAACAACATTATTAGACCTAATTTAAAAAATATTTCATAATACATTTCAAAACTTAAAATACATTGTAACATAGTGAAATCGAGTGGAGTGACCTTTATATACAAGATTTAAATAAACTTATCACCATTGAAAAAAATTACTATAAATTATACAGGTTAATATTTTAATTTCCAACAGGCACATTTTAATCTTTCTGAAAACAATACATTACCTCCAAAAACAGAATTAACAACATTATTAGACCTAATTTAAAAAATATTTCATAATACATTTCAAAACTTAAAATACATTGTACCATAACCTTACTTAAAAAAAACTTTATTATACATGTCAGAACTTAAAATACATTGTACCATTGGCCAGTCAAGTGGAGTGAACTCTATATACAAGATTAAAATAAACATATTACATTTGGAAGTTGAACAATCATCCAACTACGTCCAATCAATTTGAAAACAGAAGACACAAGATTATCTAACCTGATTTAAGGAATATTTAAAAATGCATTTTAAAATACATTGTGCAATGGTGAGGTCAAATGGAGTGAACTTTTTATACACTACAAGATTTAAATAAACATATTACCATTGGAAGTTGGACAATTATCCAATTCCATCCAAATTATTCAAAGATAACCTAACCTAATTTGCAAAATATTTTATAATACATTTCAAAATCTCAAATACTTCATGCAATGGAAACTTTACATAAACGTATATCATTGGAAGTTGGGTAATTATCTAATTCCATGTGAATAATTCAAAAACAGAAGATATCATTGTTAGACCTAATTTGAGAAAAAGTTCATAATACACTTCAAAATTTAAAAAACATTGTACCATAACCTAACTTAAAATTTTTTTTATTATACATGCCAAAACTTAAAATACATTGTACCATTGATAATTCAAGTGGAGTGAACTTTATATACAAGTTTTAACTAAATATATTACCATTGGAAGTTGGACAATTATTCTATTCCATCTGGTAAATTCAAAAACAGAAGATACAAGATTATCTAGCCTAATCTATCAAATATTTTTTATAATACATTTCAAAACATAAAATGCATTCTAGACCAGGGAAGGTTTTGGAATGAGTGAACTTCATGTACAATTCTAAATGAATAATTGAAAAACAGAAGATACAAGATTATCTTACCTTTGTAATCGAAATTTTCAATCAACTATCAGAATATGTTCTTATAATTTTTATACAGGGTGGTCTGAATTGAGCCTCTCTCAATGTTGAAATTTTCAGAAGAGCCATATATTACTGAGATATTGAACTGACTGAGAGTTTAGATAACTTGATGATCATCACGTAAATTGAAAAAAAATGTATAACGGTCCTGACAATCACTAGAATTATAGCGATATGAATTCCTCCTTATATATCACAGATAAATCTCAAAACTTTCTTTGGCAATCCATTTTGGTTTGGCTAATGGGTGAAGTAAAAAGTACCATAAATTAAATTGATATTACAAACCTCTAATATTGACAGTGAGGATTTTCCAATATAGATTATTACCACTTGTGATTCTCAATCAATACTAAAAATAGTTGAATTGAAGGGGTTATATTTTTTAGGAGTGATTAATTTTTGGGAAAGAAAGTTTTTGGCTTTCTACTACTCCACCTTGATACAAAAAAAAGAAGGATAAGGAAGTCTTCCAAAGAAAGGAAGGAAGTAACTCTATACATGGATGTGTAGATCATGCAAAGACGTAACTTTCAGACACAAACTGGAAGAAAATCCTCCTGAAACAGCTACTTTCATATAAACATTGAATTATAAGAAAGAAAAAATTCTTTCAAAACAAATACTTCTATATGAACACTGAATTATGCAGACGATATTTCGAAAGAATTTTTTCTTTCGTATAATTCAATGTTTATATGAAAGTAGCTGTTTCAGGAGGACTTTCTTTCAGTTTGTGTCTGAAAGTTACTTCTTTGCATGATGTACACATCCATGTATAGAGTTACTCCCTTCCTTTCTTTGAAAGACTCCCTCATCCTTCTTTTTTCTGTATCAAGATGCAGTAGTAGAAAGCCAAAAACTTTCTTTTCCTAAAAATAGTTTTTCAAGAAAAATGAGCTGATATTGATTTCAACTCATAAAAGAATAATCAATTTCTCTCAATTCAAGACTCATATGAAGTTCCAGAGAAAAGTTGCGTATTTCATATATCTGAATCTTTTTTCAGAGATATTGAAAAAATGAAATTAGGTAAATATAATTTCTTATGGAACCTTTATTTTGGTACTCAAAATTCCTCAAGTTTCATAAAAGCTTCAGAATAAGGAATATACATCCATTTACAAACCATAAACAATACCAGCTCATTTTTGTTTTGAATATCGATTCATATTTTTTTGGGTGTATTTACTAAAACTGAATGGTCTTCTATTACCATTATCAAATTTTCTATGGATCTCCAAGTCATGTTCAATTCAAATTTGTATATCTTTGGAGATGAAATATATGTCCGTAAGATATCCATAGAATGGATATCTTTGTGTGATTATCCGAAGGACATCCAGAATATATTCAAGAAGTGTACGATACCTTATTGACATACAAGTCAGTATATTCCAGACATTCATAAGATATCCTTTAGATATAAATTGAAAGTAAAATGGATATCCGTTAAATATCCTTGGGTTGTCTTAGCAATCAATGGATGATGCAATACTCAGTAGGAGTTAGAACAAAAATGTTCAAATTTTGCTTAAACATCCACTCCCTACACTGTAGGTTAATGGACTGACACCCATCAGAAGACAACTACTCCCCTGGCTAATACCACGAAGGGCGTTGGATTATGTCCGACAAGTGTCACTGCAGGATTCTTCACTGAAGTTATTCCTGCATATGCTGTTGGCGATACAACTGCTGCGACAGATTTTCAGTTATTGGAACATACTTGCAGGCCGATCTATTAACAGTACAGAGAGTTGAGACTGGCCTGAACAAATTGTTCCTTTAGATGATTTGATTTATAGCCAGTCTTCAAATATGCCCACTGAGTATATGTGAAAAACCTAGAGATTGTACTTCATAAAAAAAATATGTGCGAATAGAGTATTGCGAATTATTAGAGAATCATCTGTGGTAAATGAAGAGACCAATTGCTTCTCTTCAAACAATTCTCAGGGCCGTACAGAAGAAATATAATTCATCTGATGATGAAAATGAATTATTTCATATTACATACAAAAAGTGTTAATCAAAACATTGCTATGGAATATACAAAGTTTAAACTTTCTATGAACAAAAAAATTACAGACAAAAATAGAATTTGGAAATCTTCGATTTTTACAGTATCTTTCAATAGTACCTGAAAATGGCAACTTTGCCACAATAATACCATGCGAATATTCAAGAGTATAGATCTACATGAAAAAATAATAATACAAAAATAAGAGGTGTTGAATTTTCAAGAAAAAAAGGAAAATTTTCAATATATCCAATATACAGTTTATAGTTTGTGATGAAAAAATATTTTTCTCAACTTCAAAAGTGGCGTCGGTACTGGAATTAACTTCGATATTTATGAAGAAAAAAATACATCTATGGCTTTTCTTAAATAATATTCATTTTTGAACTCCACCTTCAATTTGGGATGAAAAAGACCTCTTGAGTTTTTTCCTATGATATATCATTTCTGAGTAAAAAAATAATAACCTTTGTCGGAGATATAACTGAAAAATTTCTTTAGAATTTGATCTTGTTTTGAATTGGTTAGAACGTGATACCTGATAAAGCGGCACATTTTTGTGCAGGAACACACTCATCATTGTATTCATTGAGGAACACCCTGTATAAAAATGTTTTCAATCAAAAAATTACTATAAATTATACAGGTTAATATTTTAATTTCCAACAGGCACATTTTAATCTTTCTGAAAACAATACATTACCTCCAAAAACAGAATTTGGTAATTCAAGATGTTTTCTTTTCATCTGACCCAAAAAAGCTATAGTTGTTTTTTTGGCTTCGTTCAATAGTACCTTTGCAATAATTCAACCCACTCTACATCTTCCACTGTACCGACATATGCACTACATAAATAAAAATATCCTTACCTAATTCAATAAATATGCTGTAATACATTTCAAAATATAAAAAATCATGACTTTTGGAAGGCATTCAATAAAATAAATACATTTAATTTGTGAAGTATTTTTGTATTCTTGGGATTTCATTAGAGTTTTCTCATCTAATCTATTTTTCTCTTCTCAAGACTAGAAAAAAAGAATGCTGGAAGAAATGTTTTCAACAGGTTCATCATTGTAGTCAACTTCAAACCATAATTAGTTCCTAATTGATTAATTTAAAGTGATTATACACACGAACCGTAACTCAATTCTTGACATCTATTTCATCAACCAATGTGGTCTCAAATATGAACTGAACTGATTCCCGAACTCTAAATCATTCTTTTTATTTGTAACAAAGTGTTCAAGTCAATGAAAAAGTTCCCACTAATATTAACAAAGTGATTCATGAAATTGTGGCCAATGGCCTACTTGTATTGAAGCATATGTCACTGTTTATAATTCCCATGTAACACTCCTTTGTTCTAGAAGAAATGTTGGACTCAACTATCTTTTTTTGATGTATGAAATCGGCAATGCACCAAGTGTTCCTCAAAACTAGTTTTAACAGCAACACTCAGTCTGACCACCACAATTTTTTGTGTTTGGTCTGACTAAAAGAGCTATTAAAACTCGTTTCGAAGATTCAGGGTCCACTTTGTGGGGGGCGGAGAATAAAAAAAATCTTGAAGTTATCAAGATCAGTACATGACAGTAGACGTTGCCATGCATTTGAGAATCTGGAGCCCCCCCTTTAAAATATATAAGAACTTTTTCTACTTCAAACTCTTGATACTTTTGCTATACCTGAAAACAATCAACAATCTAACCTAAACTTACCCATCTATTCTATAAAATGGTCATAATTTTACCAAATTTCAGGAATGATACTAGCTGCTATTGAGTGTCATTGACACTCAGTTATTCTTACATGCTAAGAGCGAGCAAGCTCTATAAATAAAACTTAAATAAAATATGCTTTGGACAATACAAATTGAAAACATAAAATAAATATCTGAGAAAGCAAAATTCTGCATTAGACTATTTTTTCTTACTTTTGCCCAAGGTGAGAGTATGGTGGCTCTGTCCCATTTGTTGATATTGGGACTTTCTTCTATTGAACTCAACAATTTCGTCCTCCAATTTTTTGCGGGAGTCTTCAATTTTTTTCTTTTCTTCGGTGTGATCTTTTTTCAGTTTGTCGAACTTGGCGTGAAGCTGCAAAAAGGTTTTGATACACATTTAGTTCATTTTAAGAAAAACGTAAATGGGTAATTTTGTATTAAAAGTATGAAAGGGACAATCTATGATACTGTTACAATCAATTGGGAAGCACACATAAATACTGTATGTTCAAAACTAAGCACTACATGCTATATAATAAAAAATCTGCGAGATACTGTATCAGCAGACATCTTGATACTATGTTATTTTGGGATGGTACAGTCTACTCTACAATATGGCGTGATCTTCTGGGGGTCGTCTTGTCACTTTGAAAGGGCATTCGTATCTCAAAAAAGGATAATAAGAACGATTTGTCATGCTCATCCAACCACAACATGTAAACTTTTATTCAAGAATATCCAAATACTAACCCTTCCATGTTTATATATTCTTGAACTGATTATGTACATAAAACGTAAACAAAAAGAAATAATGAGGAATGAAGACACTCATATGTATAATACTAGGAATAAAGAAAAACTTCGACAACCCTATTCAAGGTTATCAGTCTGTAAAAATTCACCAAAGCATATTGGTATCAAGGGTTTCAATAAAATAAGAGATTTGATAGATGTGAATCTGAATGACATTCTATTCAAAAATAAATTGAAAAACTTTCTTCTTGAAAAAGTATTTTATAATGTTGAAGAATTTTATAATTCGTGATATCTCATAATTGTAAGACTGACTATTGTATGTACAATTTTTCTGGTTTGTTTGCGATTAACAACCTTATTTGTAGATTACCTTCTTTTCTTTCTTGACTAGTCTGATAAGTGTTATGTATGTGTATGTATAATGCCTTGTATAACCTTTGATTGATGAATAAATTCTATTATTATTAATTGAAATTCAAGAAGCTTAACAGCTGAAACGCTAATAGAATTACATAGCCCGCGAAAGTAAGCCTCTGCATAATTTTGTTCAAGAGACTTATTCAAAATATTTTATTAACAATTTAGTTCAACTTGTAACTGTGTGATATCAGTAAAGTGAAATCCCGATAATAAAGTCATTTGTGTTCACAGAGAAATAGAATAACTTTGATTTTTAATCTGGAACATGAAAGATTCACTTTCACATTAACTACGTTGTTAAATTTAATATATTTACCATAATTGTGGATATGAGTTAGATAGTTCTTCTGCGAGTTTCACGAGTAGTAGATATTTTTCCAACACATTGTATAAACCTTCATTTTGTTGAAATGTGAAAAGTGTGCTTTGTAATGTTTTCATTATGAAACATTTAGTTTTTGGCAAGTTGTTCAAAAATATATTTTATCTATGTATCAGCAACTAGACAATGAATATTGTTCAATAACATTCAACATAAGCCATACAATACTAAGAGATAGTTGAAGACTTGTTTATAAAGATTTGTGGAAACAGATTGTGACTTTTCTGGTAGATAAATTTGTCAAACCTGATTAGATTGCCACTTTAATGAATTTGAAAGAGACACTGAGAATTTTTTCATGGTTATTTTGAAGGTTCAACAAAACAGCTCATACCTCCTTCTCAGCTTCTTTCAATTCCGATTCCTTCTCTTTCACTCTGACAACAAACATTTGCCTCATTTCATCCTCTTTCTGTTGCAATTCTTGCAGATGATTGGACCTTTTAGCTTCAAATGTTTGTTGGAAACTCACAGGCTTGTTGTCTTCATCTACATCACTGAAACCCATTTGCTCTAGTCTTCTCTTCCTGTATAATTCGTAATGTTTACAATGAGTTTTTTCACGCATATCTTCCATGTTAGTGCGAATAAGCATTTCTCGAAGTTTTACAAAGTCGCAATGGCTCTCATTCTGAAAAAAAAAATTACCAAATTCTGAATAACACAGCAAAGAAAAATCTCTCAACTTCGTATATTACATAGAATGTATAAATTGAAAGGGGTGTATTTTTAGGAGAGATTAATTTTTGAGAAAGGTTTGGCTTTCTACTTTTCCATCTTCATACAAAAATGTGGGAATCTTTCAAAGAAAAGAATGAAGCAATCAATTTTAAAAATTATTAAATAAATTAAACAAAAATAATCTTCAGACACTTCAGTGAAAACACGATCTCAACTAGTATAAATTTCAATGACTGGAGATATTTTCTTCCTTAGATATTAAATATGTGTGCTCCATGACAAAAATTACGAATCGAGTGTGAGAACTTCTTATAATAACCTTTTGAATTGTATTTAATTAGATACTCCTTCTTACTATCTGATTCTGTCTCTCTCTCTCTCTCTCTTTCTTTGTCCCCTAACTTCCTCTCTGTCCCCTATCTTTCTCTGTATCCCCTATCTTTCTCTCTGTCCCCTATCTTTCTCTGTCTCTCACTCTGTCTGATTGTTTGCCTTTATTTCTAATAAAACAGTATAAATATACAATGTTGGTGATATCAAGTTTGACAAAACGTTCACGACAATGATCTCTATAATCTATGTCAGCTAGAATTTGTGAGATGATTCAATTGTCTCAGTACAAAGAGAACAATAGATAATTATGAATGGACTGACCCGTTACTACAGCAGTTTGACCACTCACCATTCTTAAACATTTTTTGATAAAACAAATCATTTTACTCATATTCTGAAATTGTGATTGATTGACAAATTTTTCTTATCGTTTTCATTTTTAACCAATCAAGCTAGGTACCTACACTGTTGTATATAAGAATTGTAGCCCAATGTGTAATATTCATTTCAACCGAGGAAGCTACGGTGTTAGCGAACGCATATGGAAATAAAAAAAAATTGAGGAAATTGTTCAATTATCATTGATTAAACACAGGATAGTTTACATACTACATGATTTACATGACTGGACCAATTCAATCTGTCATCTATAGTGATTCCTCTTGATTTTTCTGATTTGATGAAACTAATAAATTAAGTAAATGTAAAAACATATAAATGTAAATAACTATGTAACCATATTATAAAAGTAAGTCGAAATAATATGGTTACATATTATAAGTCAGTCAAAATAATATAAACAACACAATAACACAAACAGTGATAAACATCCATGAGTAATAAAAGTAACATATAAATATAAATGTAACTAGTTATAGACTATAAAAAAGCTAATAAAATATAATCAACCCACAATTTCTCAAGTATTTCTCAAGTAATGAAAGTAAACACTTTAACCAAATGTGCTAAGGCTCAAGATCTCAGGTTAGTTGGTAGGTGAATAGTGTAACAAGTCCTTTGAAGTAGCATTTTTTTCAGCTGACTTTTGAACACATTAATATTTGGGGAATTCTTAAGGGCTATTGGAAGCATATTGCATAATTTACACCCACTGTACTCTACATTTTTTTCATACAAAGAAGTTCTATGAGCGTTTGGTACGATTAGATCTTTCGAACGAGTATTGTGTTTATGAATTTGAAGAGAGGACTGAAAATTGGATTTATTTTTGAAAACGTATGCACTAGCCTCTAGTATGTAGGTGCTGGCAACTGTAAGAATTTTTAGCTGTTTAAAAGCATCTCTACATGAATCATGGTACCCTAGCTTAGCTATTATTCTAGCTGCATATTTCTGGAGAAGAACTATCCTTTTAACAGAAACGCTCATACCCCAGTTGAGAATGCCATATCGAAGGTGTGAATGGAAGTTAGCATGGTACAAGAAGAGAGAAGAAGAGATCAATTTTTAGAAACACGTTTATTCAGATCACTGATTGATTTTTCTGGGAAAATAAGAGTGGTGTCATCAGCAAATATATTGAACTTTGTAGGTGCGATATATTGACACAGGTCATCAATATACACAATGAATAAAAATGGACCAATTACTGAACCTTGAGGTACTCCATATTTAAATAATTCACAATCTGATGTTTGACTGTTAAAATCGACCTACTGTAATCTGTTTATCAAAAAGAAATGTAGTTTTAGAGCAATTTCTCTTATGCCATAGTAGCTCAATTTCTGAATAAGTCTGTCATGAGATAAACAGTCGAAAGTCATCGACAAGTTGCGTAATGTAAGCACAGTATGCTTGCCTTGATCAAGACCTTCAACTATTTCTATAAGAATGTAGAAAACAGCTTTATTTGTAGATTTGTTTTAATGGAAGTTGTATTGTAAATTACTAAAACAAAATTTATTCTCCAAATAGGTGTATAGCCTATCTTTTAGAATAATTTCGATAATTTTTCCAATAACAGAGGTAATAATGATTGGTCGATAATTATCGAATGAACATTTATATCCCTTTTTGAATAGAGAGAAAGAGAAAAAGTACTTTATTGTTCATGAATAACATCATGGTATCACTTTTGAAACTTTCAACGAACCAGGGAAGGTCTCCTTATCGAAAATCATATTTATCAAATGGGTTTAATATTAACACTTGCTGGTTCAGATCATGTACATGTTATCCTCGATGAGAATAGAATTGTTAGGGATGTCTAAACAGGTGATATCCTTCAGACTCAGAACCAAATCTTGGGAAACTCCCAACTTTATATCATTCAATTTAAAGTTGAGATATCAAAATAGTTAGGAATTCAACAGGCCACAAAATACTGCTGCATAGGCCTCATCTATACTAAACTAGGAAGTTTACCTGTTCGATACCTGATTGATGTTGTCCATTACAATTTTTATTTCATCAGATGGTGGAAGATAAAGAACCAATAAAATCTATATTTCTACACAGAGTCCTTAAGAGACAAAAAAATAAGAAATTGATAATCTCTTGATGAAGAGAAAGATCATGTATTTGTCAATTATTGAACTTACCTCGACCTGTACAGTACCCCAAGGATACTGCCTTGCCCTGACCATTTTGTTTCCAACTTTTATAAAATCTGTGCTTCCTATCACAGCAAACGGAATATGGGAGTTCATAGTCGAATTAGCATCTGAAACAGACTCGTCATCGACTGGAAATTCGTAAATTGAGACTCCGTTATTCTGCAACTCAGCAATTATTCTCGATTTGAATTTCTGCAGTTCTGTCTTGGATATAGTGTCAGCTTTCGCAATTATTGGGATAACATTAACCTTTTGATCAAGCTGCTTCATACAAACAAGATCAATGGATTTCAGGCCATGTCCTGTGGGGCATATGAAATACAGACAGACATGAATCCTTGAATCATGGTAAGTGGAGAGGGACCTTTTGATTTTCAATTCTTCTTGGAGGTAGTTCTCAAACTGGGCATCAATGTAGTCTACGATAGCTTTGAAGCTGTCTTCTTTGTTGATTTGGTCACCGTAACCCACAGTGTCTACGATTGTAAGCTGAAAAATTATAATGTAAAAAGATAAAATTTTTTCATTTGATAAATTTATTCAGAAACTTTATACTGAAAATTTCGAAGCAGCTTCAGGTGCTTCAGTAAAAAGGTTTGTCACTAGTAAAAGGAAAATATCTCTTGATTTTTCAAAAGATTTGTCTCCATTAACTATTGCACTGAATATCTTCCTCTTTCTATTCATTATTTAATGTTTTTTTTATCGTATTCAATATTATTGTTATTAGTAACAGTTTTGCTATTATTTAATTAATTACTATACTTATTTTTTCATGTCCTGTTAATGGGTGAATCCTGTTGGACAAGAAATAGTTATTATTTCCAAACACAATATTGACACATTAGCAATTATTGTTGTGACGACCAAACTGATTATTCATAAATATATTGATACTCGTAATCTAATGACAGAGAAAATAAATTTAATGATGAGTTATGTCCAGAAGAAAATGTTAAAATAAAAGAAAAAGCATTTGGAAAAGCTTTAATGCATTATATCAGATTTTTGCAATTTTGATGTTCTCATAAAAAATTAAAAAATCAAAGTGAAAAATCTGAAAAACCCATTTTATTTTTTCCTCTTCAGGACGAAAAAAATTGAATTGTGCTTTTAAAATGCATGATGACAAAGTGAGGCAATGTTTGGAATGTTTTAATACGTTTCATCGTCCTTTTGTTCCTTACAATACTCCCAATTCTCTCACCTTCAAACGAACATTGCTTTCCTGTAGCTCATAGGTGTGTGCTTTGAGTTTAACTGAGGGTAAAGAATGAGGACTAGGTGATGACTCGAAGTTCGTATTGAAAAGAGAATCCATCAATGTAGACTTCCCCAAACCAGTTTCACCTAAAAAAAAATCATACATAAAAACATTGTGAAAAATTTTTATTGAATGAAAATAAATGTTCCAAATATTTCTTTTGGGAGTAAAAGAACGGATTGAAATGCCCCAGAAGAAATCAGAAATAAATGATAGAAAGATAAATGGAGGTTAGGATGGAATGACCAATATATCACATTTATAACTTTCAAATTATAAAAAAAACAATATCATTCATATTAACGTGTTGACTTTGAAGAGGGTTTCATCACATGGATAAAAAAATTACCTTTCAGACCATGGACTGGAGAGATACTCTACAAGTTCAGTAATGACAATCATTAACATTTTTTGAATTCCTAATTTCTAAAATATTTATAAAAAAATGTCTTGGTCATATAAACCGAGTTGGGCATTTCAGTACTAGATATAATACTCTGCCAATGAGATCATCATATCGGTTAGAAAGTATAAACAGCTGCCTAAATAAAGTTGTAAACTATAGATTTACATAGTTGTCAATTTTTTCGGACATAAATATTGAACCCTAAAAACTAGACTATTGCAACCCTTCATCTCAACCAGCTCTCATTGAGTCTGTGTTGGCAAATCTATGGCGGGCCAAACAATTGACATGTATTACACGATAAACTGTCTGTTATATTGAAGTTCTGGGGCAAATTGAGTTTGCCAACTGGAGCAGATACTTTTTTCTTGATCAAATAAGCCAAAACAGCAGCCAACGTGTTAAGGAGTGGAACTGAAATAAGGAACAACAAAAAAAAATATAGTAGAATTACTCTACAATGTGAGATTTTCACTTCATTGTTATTTGAAAATCTGACATTCAAGTGTTATTTTGATATATTACGAATTTTTGTCAAGGATCAGCCAGTTCCATCGTGTATACTTGAAAAATATATGGATATTTAGAAATATTGCTCAAAAATATCCTTGAAATTATTGTACAAATGAGTATAAATAAAACATTTCTATCCTTACTGTTATGAAAAATTCTATATAAAACTTACCGATACACATTATATTGAAAGTGAACCCATTTTGAACGCTTTTTGAGACCAACTGGTCTGGCAAGCTGTCGAATCCCACATGACCAGATAGGGTCAAGTTCCGCAATTGAACCTCAATCTGTAACCAAATAATTATATGTGATTGGAATGTGTCCCTCCAAGATAAGCTGAATTATCTTGAGCTGGCATTAGAGTAATTAGGAAAATGATCTCAATCAATGAAATAATCATAAAATATAATTAATTCTCAACACTATGGTCAGAACTGTCACAATGAGTTCAACTAAAAAGACCCATGGTTTCATGTGCCAATAATCAAGGCCGTATTCAGGGTGTGTTCCTACGGGGAGCTAATATGAAGTTGACCTCTACAGTGAAATAATGATATTCAATTCTTATTGTAAAATGAAAATCATCAGAATCGAAGAAAATTCTAAACTGTAGTTTACTGACAAATTGTGCCAGTTGATAAAGATCAGAGGTAAGTATTTCTTCAAGAAAAAGTTGACTTTCATAATTCATATTTCTTAGGACAGTACAATTATTATAATTTTCTATTTGAGAATTCACCTGAAATCTATTCAGTGTGGAATAAATATCAAACTGCATAATAAAATGAATATTCCAAGGTATTTTCAAATTTGATTATCTCAATACCACTATTATCAAATGTATCACTACAAAACCTCAAAAAGTTATTGATAAATTTCTTTAAAAAAAAAATTATTATTCAGCAATATCTTGAAAGTAAACAGCATAATAAAACCATGAGTCCATAGGAAGAGTGGTTTTTTCTATTGCTTCCCTTTAATCTATCGCAAGGAACAGAATTGTTTATGTTAGAAGTACTTACTTTGTTTCAGAAATAACTGTTTTGAATTATCATAAAATGTTGTCAGCAATATTTTTATTGATTTGTCATTTTTGTCGCATTATTAATAACTCAAGTGTAGCCGAGGAAGGTACAGTGTTAGCTAAACGCGTCTATAAACAAAAATTTTTGTGAAAATTGTGTAATTATTATCATGGATACTATTAGAAAATGTTTATTCAAAATGCAGTATTTGAAAAACTGATAGGTTGTCCTTAAGAAAAACTCCACAAGACAAAACATATAACAATCTCTTTTGTTAGGGATACTTGTTGCATTAACCGAGTGGCATTTATAAATGACTGCACATTAATCTGGCACTTTATGTTTTTACAGATCAATTCTTGTTCGAGTTAATTTCGTCTTAAGTAATATGCTCAAGAGTTGCAATTTGAGCCATAAATTTTGGTTGTGTTTGGTTGTGTTGGTTGTGTATATAGTTTGCAAATCCCGTGGTGAAAATTCTGAAAATTATATACTCAGGAACAAAAAGGATTATGATTGTTGTACACCAGTTTTTAAATATTTCACTTTTCCAAAAAAAAAGGTATAGCTCAAATTAAAATAAACTATGTTAAATGATTTGGAGGTGTAGGACCACACAAAATTCATCATATCAAATCAAAACAGCAACATTTAGAAAAAAGTGATTATGGTGCATTCATCATTTACTCTAGAGTCTAATTTACCGCCCATTGGACATTTGGAGATATAATTTAAAATAATGTGAATCAAATTGTCGTTTTTTTCAGCATTTCTTGTAAATTCATATTTTTGATCCAGTGAATACCATTATATTCCAAATAAAATATAAACACTAGACAACGCATTTTATTTACAATAGGTACCATTTGTACATAAATAAGAATTGAGGTGAATCATCTGCAAATTACATAAATATAACTTACTGGGGGTGAATCAACATCTACTGGTGCCATTTTTCGTTGCTAGAATTTTTTTTTCAAATTAACAATCCAAACTCAATCAGAAATGCACTAAATGCATACATTAGAAATTAATATATTTATACAAATATGCTTCCAGCTCTGTCACAATAAAATTAGCTTTCTACTTTCAACTGTGGCTCTGTATTTTCTGTCACAGTTCTCTATCTGTCTTCTGTCTGTACCAGTGACGTCATAATATGCTCTAGCCGTTGAAGAGAGAACTTTGAGCCTAGCCACTAAAAAAAATGAAGAGATTGACGTCTTGGCAATTACGTCACTGATTCACTTGGCATCAGATACGTCACGATGTTTTACATGTTACATATTTCCACTGTGGAAATTTTTAGATTTGATTTGAAACAGTAGCCAGGCGATATGTGATCCGCAGATGAAATTTACCGTAAAAGTGGCGAACGCCTGTCCATATTATCATGTCTTTGGTCTTTACACAATCCACCGTCTTACATTTCAATCGGCTTTGCCAATTTTTTTTCAATTGCGCTGTGTCAGCGTTCTGTGAATGACTTGTACAAGTGGTTTAAAGACAATTCTTGAAATGGTTTGCAATCATTCAACCGTCTGCAATATCTCTCAAAGATCGACAGAGAACTCAAGATTGGCCTTCAAGGACAATTGTTTGTCGATGACCGATGAAAAAGGAAACGGTCTGCAAAGTTTGACCCAGAGCATGAATATCTGGGGCACAGAACCTTTATTTTCTCTATCTGGGTCAGATAACCGTAAAAGAGTAACAAAATGGACACAGAACACCATGTTAGTTTATCTTAGTGTGTCGATCCGTGCCACCAAGTGTAATAATGTGAAATGTCACTTTTCATTTTGTCAGTCAACTGAATACTGAATGAATTGTGTCAAAAAACGGTTTTATTATTTTTATTTTTGTGTGGTCTTCACGTTGTTTATGAAAGTTTAAACAATTCTGTCGTAATACATTCCAATTTAACAGTGCTTCGTTAAATTCCAGGCACTTTAACATAGAAATTTAATCTATTCATAATGGCACCAGTGGACGTTGATTCACCCCCAGTAAGTTTTTTTAGATTTTGTACTTTTTATTTCAGAAACCTATCTGTTGTAATTGCTGTGAAAGAATAGAAAACTTTGCCTACAGGTAGAAACTTATTTGTTTTATTAACTAGATTGGCAGATACGGGTTGTTCTAAAAATAGGGAGGGTGTGTCCAAAGGTGGTTAAAATGTCGATTTGAAAATCAATTATTAGAATAATTGAAAAATATTTAGGATTTCGTTTTTCTCTCTGCAGCTTGACCAAAACAAGTATTTCTTTGAAAAAATACCAAAAGTATGAGGATTCTACAAGTGAAGAGGACTCTACAGGAATTTTCTACATTTTTTTCTAATTTCTTTGTTGAATGGTTCAAATAATTTACTATTTCCTCTGTTTATAAAGTAGTATAGATAGATGGATTTATTGAAAGTGGTATGGCAATAAAATAACCTATTATAAATATGTTTTGATTTTTTACTGTCAGTACCAAAAAATTGTTGAGAGACTTCTTGTAAATGTGGATGTACCTACCCTACATTACTTTTATTTTTTCAACAGATTGAAATCCGTTTGAGAAATTTGACCCTCTCTGGTCATGTAGGATTTGATAGTTTACCAGATCAATTGGTTTCTAAGAGTGTCCAAAATGGATTCATCTTCAATATCATGTGCATTGGTGAGTATTCATAAGAGAATTAGAGTAGGATAATCACATACATGTTTAATTCATTCTGTTTACTGGGAAAGCTAAAATATAGAAAAAAAAAATTGGAACTAATCATCAACGAACATTAGAAACAGCTCCATTTTCAGTTGCTGAAAACTTTCAGACTAGTTACTAAAAATATTATTCATGCTTTAGGTGAAACCGGACTAGGAAAATCTACTTTGATGGATTCTCTCTTCAATACTGATTTTGAATCCACACCCAGCCCCCACAGCTTGGATTCAGTTCAATTAAAAGCTCACACTTATGAACTGCTGGAGAGCCAAGTTCGTTTAAAGGTCAGAAAATGGTTCAGCATGATCATTTGCTCTAAGCTACTAAATACAAGTGAATCTTGTGAAAGAACTAACCCCATTAACTTTTTTTGATTGGTATGAAATTGAGAAAAACTAAACTACTAACAGTTATTCGTTATCACAACTGGCAAAACAAACATATATTTCGTGATGAACAATGTAAGGTTCTTGGGAATCATTCTAGACTAGTCAGTCGCTTTATATATTTTGCTCAAGTAGAATCAAGACTCACGTGTGTCAACTGTACTTATTTTCTGATAGTAGTCACTCTATTAACCTACAGTGTAGGTGGATTGACTGAAGGCAATTTTGAAGGCAAATATTTTGAAAAACAGAAATATGTTCTTAAAGTTTTTTGTATTAATTTAAGAAGTGACCCTTTTCTAGATTATCTCACAATGGAAGATATGAATAATAATGAATTCATACATCTACCATCCTGTTTGAACTTATGAGTTCAATTTTTTGTTTAAAAGAAAGCGAATAATATTTTGCTTTCACTTGAAAGATCATACTGAAAATTGTAGTTTAAACCAAATTATGAGGAGGATATGCTCACCACAAGTTCAGAATATAACTATTCACACTATTCAATGTATTAATTGGGATTTTTAATTGTGGGATATCAAGATGTGGAAAAGTTAAGTAACATCTTCCTTATAATCTACATTGTATTTTGATCATTATTCCAAATTAGTGTAATATTCTTAGTCAATTTATCCTGATTAATATCACATTGAATCTTGAATATCCTTCAGGGGTCTATTCATTCAGAGGTTGAATTATTTTATGACAGTACATTATATTGTTTTTATTTCTCTACAGCTCACTGTTGTCGACACTGTGGGCTACGGAGATCAAATTAACAAAGAAGACAGTTTCTCTGCGATTGTGGACTACATAGATGCTCAGTTTGAGTACTACCTTCAAGAGGAGTTGAAAATAAAAAGATCACTGTCTACATATCATGACTCTCGAATTCATGTGTGCCTTTATTTCATCAGTCCCACAGGGCATGGCCTGAAATCTATCGACTTAGTTTGTATGAAGCAACTAGATCAGAAGGTGAACATTATTCCCATAATTGCAAAGGCCGATACAATTTCCAAAACGGAACTCCAGAAATTCAAATCGAAAATAATTACAGAGTTGAAGAATAATGGGGTGTCGATTTACCAATTTCCAGTTGATGATGAGTCTGTTTCAGAAATCAATGCAACTATGAATTCACACATTCCATTTGCTGTGATCGGAAGTACTGATTTCATCAAAGTAGGGAACAAAATGGTCAGAGCAAGGCAATATCCATGGGGTACTGTGCAGGTTGAGGTAAGATTTAGCTGTTTATATTTTCTTATGTTAGACTCTGTTTTACGTTTCAAGAGAAACATATATTGGATATAATAAATAATCAATTCATTCATTACACTTTATTATAAACCGTGCAGTAATATTAACTGTCATATATCAAAATGGTTTGAATGGGGAAAAGATGAAAATTGTAAGCACCTTCGTATTGAAATGTCATTAGACATTAAAACACCTATTATTAACATCTCAAACTGAACCCTCTCGTTTATGAAGGGATGAATGGATCTTTATTGAATAGAAAACTTATCCTAATATAGACTAGATTAGATAGTAAAGAAATATATCTTTTTTGAAATGTTCATGTAAATATAATTAAAATGGCCATTGAAAGAAACAGTGTTATCTAGCATGAAACCCAAATACTTAATCTTGTTTACAAATGTGATTCTTTTCACAATTTCTTGAAAGTTTATTTTGTTCAATATTGACATATTTTATTTTATGTGGTGTGGGTATTATCCATACTTCTTTTTTTTTATAGTTTATTGTTATTTTTTTTTGTCCCTTGGGAGCTGTCTGACTTGTCCATTTAGTCCAAGTCTTCAGAACACACTACAGCCTCTTGGGCTTATTGCGTTTATTCTCCCATCTTCTCATGACATCCATTCCATCAGTCTCGTTCCCTGTACTAGTTTGTACAGGTTCCGTGTTGGATGTTCCTCATATTCTTCTGGGCGTAATTTTGAAGTCCATATATTGCCTGCCTCCTGTGATTCAGTGCCTCACATTCGCATAAGATGTGTAGAGCTGTTTCTATCCCTTCGTTACATAATCTGCAGCTGAGGTCTCCGTTGCACAGCCCCATTTTATTCAGGTGTCCTCTAAGCGGACAGGATAGGTATGAATTGTTGCTAGTGGGTTGGTGATTTTGTTGAAAGCACTATCCAAATTACTACTTGAAATAGAAAACATTGTATAATCAGCAAACTAGTTACTTAAGTCAAAGGAATGAAAATGTGCATGTCATTTACATACAACAAGAACAATAATTCAAATTAAATTTTTTTATTTGGTTCATAACAAAGCTACAGGTCCCAAGACCATTGTGGAACGCCAAAAAACTTTCAACAGGTTGAGGAAAACTTTTTGGTTGATAATAGTTATTTGTTTATGATTTTTGAGGTAATTTTTTAATCACTCAAGTACAATTCCTTGAGTACCAGCAGCTTCTAGTTTTCTCATCAGAATTTCACAGTCGATTGTCTCAAAAGTTCGTTTCAAATCTAAGAATACTGCAATAATGTAATCACCTTTATCAATACTTCCTTTCCATTTAGTAATAGCTAGCTGTACTGATGATTCAATCAATAATGTTGTCAATAGCCTGATTGATTTTCACAGAAAAAATTAGTATTAAAGTTTTGTAATCACTGCTGACTTACTAACAGTTATTATGTGGGAGCTATCAGGAATTCATCTAAACTTCTGAATTATTGCAGATCTAAGTAACATTTCATACATGAACTGGACAACAATCTATAAATAAGTGGTTGATAACAATTCATATTCGAAATTTTATGAAAATGAGTTTAATGATAGTGATTCATTTCTTGTTAATATGTTACTTGGAAATTCAATTGTTTTTGTTTATTGAATTTCAGGGATTGCAGCAGGTTGAATTTTCCTCCGTTTTATGTAATATGTTGTATTTTATATTGAAATCAAGGTTGTTGTCTGAAAGGTGGCAAGCATAGATAGAATTGGTTGTTTGGTTCGAAACATCTTTTGTGTGCTGAAATTCTCGTTTTGAAATTTGCTATCGTTCGTCCTATAATAGGTAATCAACTTGTGAGTTGAGAACCACATCAACTGAAGGATACTAAACTGAATTTTACCATATTTTCAGGTGTCACATTAGTATCATTAGCATTTTAAAGTTGTTACCATTTCTCTGGTCGATTGAATTAGCAACCCATGTTTTTACCTGTAACATTGTTATTAACAATAGAACAAAATATTCTTAAAAAATTTCATTTGTTTTGGACAGTAGCTTGGATATTGTATTTTTCATACATTTCAATACTATTTGTGTAAGAGTTGATTATGTGTACTACAGGTATACTATCACACATGAATTCATTTTTAGCTTTGACAATAAGAGGTTGTTTTTGAAACATAAAAAATAATATCTCAATATCTACAGGCACAATATTATTCCAATTGAGTTGTTCATCATTCTTCTCTCTATTAATCTCTTCATCATTTACTACTACTTTGTTTTACACACTATATTCTACTATATAAGTCTCAAGTATTTCAGTTTTTTGCATTTTGTTTAATAGTTACTGTTATATTTGAATATTATTTATGTATATTAGGATATCTATTTCAAATAAATGTATTTCTATAGAGTCGTTAACTACTTGTACAATGCATTACTTCACGCCATTTAAAATAAATCTCATTCTTTCGTCTCTAGTCACTAGAACAAAATATTCCTATAAAATTTCAGCCTCATTTGTTTTGGACAGTAGCTTGGATATTGTATTTTTCATTCATTTCAATACTATTTGTGTAAGAGTTGATTATGTGTTCGACAGGTATACTATCACACATAAATTCATTTTTAGCTTTGACAATAAGAGGTTGTTTTCGAAACATAAAAAATAATATTGCAATGTTGAACAGATATATCATTATTTTGATATCTGACATATACTGAACTTTTTGCAGAACGAGAGCCATTGTGAATTTGGACAACTGAGAGAGATGCTCATCCGCACCAACATGGAGGATATGCGCGAAAAAACGCATTGCAACCTTTACGAACTCTACAGGAAAAGGAGACTGGAGCAAATGGGATTCAGTGACGTAGACGAAAATCACAAGCCGGTGAGTTTTCAGCAGACATTTGAAACGAAAAGGTCCACTCACCTGCAAGAACTGCAACAAAACGAGGAGGAAATAAGGCAGATGTTTGTGGCGAGAGTGAAAGGGAAGGAGGGCGAGTTGAAAGAAGCAGAAAAGGAAGTGAGTTTGATTTTATCATCGATGGGAAATTATTTTAATAAGGATTGATTAGAGAAAATCTACATGGATATTTGTATTTTTAGCTACATGCAAAGTTTGATAAGCTGAAGAAGGCCCATGCTGAGGAAAAGAAGAAGATCGAGGACTCATCCAGAAAATTGGAGGATGAAATTTTAGAGTTCAACAGAAGGAAGGCTCAGTATCAGCAAATGGGTCACCATACTTTGACTCTAGGTAAAACCAAAAAGAAGTAATGGACTGTGAAGCGACTTAAGACTATATTTTTATATATATTTTTTTCAATATTTTATATTTTCAGCACTAGAATAATATTTACTTTTTTCAAAGATCTGATATTTTTATACTCTATGCTTATACCGAGATTTTTGTATCAAAAAGAAACACACTTCATTTCCTATAATCAAAATTTTGTTTTCGGTATTTTGGAGTTGTTCAAAATATTACTCAACTACTCAACTTATTTGAAATATTTTGATTACAAAATGTAATATAAGTTACATTACATGATAATGAAGGAATGAAAAAACCTACTAAAACCAAAAGAAAATCAAATTTGATAAAAAGTCAACAAAGAAGTTCCAAATGATCTCAGATGCTGACCCCATCTAAGTGCAACAACCTCATCCATCTATGGGGATGTTATTTAGATCTGATCCATAGACATGATAATATATGTACTATGCATGATGACACTTACATATATTCTATTCAGCATCTGTGTCACAGTGTCACTGTGTCACAGTATCATGTGATAAGTCAGATCCCACAATTTTCACTTGGAAATATGCAACACGTAAAACATCGTGACAATGTATCTGACGTTGAGTATATGAATGACGTGAATGCCAAGACGTGAATGTCTTCTTTCTGTAGTAGTTGGACTCTATGTTCTCTCTTCATTGGTCAGTCCATATTTACTATTACGTCACTGATCTGATCGTATCGCTGCGCCTCTAGAACAGCAAATATGGAACTGGAGTTGTCTAAAGCTTCAGAACGTATTCTTCCTGCACTGTATTTACCGAGGAATCATCGAACTGCCTTACAAAAAGACACATTCCTCCTTTAACCTTGGTGGATTTCTTCCTCTTGTTTGACGAGATGTTTTTGCTCTGGCTGTTCAGCAAGTTGTAGACTGGTGGACATATAATCAAGGCTTGCAAAATGAAGTTGATGTAGAATCATTGAAATGAAGGGTGTTCGCTTTTGAAGAAATTATTATTTTCTTTCGAAATGTTACAATATACGGAACGTTTTTTTATGTGCAACAAATGAAAAATCAAATGAAATTTGTATAACGTATTTTTTAGACCAAATATTTTTATATTTACCTTTGAATATATTTTTACACGTTTATGTGCCAATTAAATGTTTGTATATTTTTTATTGTAATTTGTTGTTTTGACCATCGCCTAAGATTTGAAAAGGTGGCGGAGTTGAGAAAAGGTTCAAGAATCTCTCTATAGTATTTTCTAGGTATTTTCACACTCGAAAATTAGGGGATATTTGAGACCTGAATTTAAATGAAACTGTCAGGTACTCGCAATCTTTTCTAAGAATATTAACGAAGAAAAAATCGGGGTTTTTCTGAAGTTTAAAATGTATGCATTAGAACTACCACATATGAAGTATGCTTCTGAATTCTTATCTTCATTATTCAGTTTGATTGTCGTAGAACATTAACGTAATTTTGACAATCTGAGGAACATGCATTTATTAATTCATCGAGCTCATGTTCTATACTGTGATGTATTATTCTAAATTTATAGGTTTTTAAAACCAAACAATCAGTGTACCTACAGGAAATTCGTGAAACATAATAAGTTCAAAGATGGTAAATTTCCATTGGCTACTTTGAAAAGATTATCGTTTATGATGAAACTGATGAAAAATACGAGTAAATTAATAATAATAATAATAATATTTATTTCTTTGATTGAAAGGTACAGTTGACAAAAATCAATACACAATAAACAAAGAAAATGTCATTTATAAAAGTAAATGTAAAAACATATAAATGTAAATAACTACATATAACCATTTTATAAAAGTCAGTCCAAATAATATGTAACCATATAAGTCAGTCAAAATAATATAAACAACACAATAACACAAATAGTGATAAATATCCATAAGTAATAAAAGTAAAATATAAATGCAACTAGTTATAGATTATAAAAAAGCAAATAAAATATAATCAACACACAATTTCCCAAGATTAGATCTTTCTCCAAAAATACTTTCATACAAATGCTTGCAATAACCATAACCTATTTATTGCTTGCTAAATAAGTGTATGGCTTTGCTTTCTCAGCAAAGTCTTCCTTGAACTAAATAATAGCAAAAATTGCCTTTGACACTGACTCTAAATCTTTCGAAGTTTTTGAGGCAACAATTTGTTTAATGAAAAAAGAGAGTTGTAATTCGAATGATGGAATAATATATAATATTATTGTGAAACGACTAAAAGTTGAAAAATTAAACAAACAAATATGAATAAGAAGTTTTTGGAATTATTTCAAAGTGACTAGAGTTTAACTCCATACATGATGAAAATGTTACAGGCTACTATTCAGAGGATGAGGTAAGTGCATAGTTTATGAAGTTCTGTTGTTAGCCTGTGAGGTTGGGTAAGAACAAAGTGATTATGGACTTCAAATGGAGTATTTTGTTATTGTAAATATTTACCAGATTTCTTCTTGAAGATTATCATGTGAAGATGAATGCTGCCCTCCCTACTTTCGAACCTCGAAGTTACATCTAGAAGCACTAAGGCCGAAAAATGTGAAAAGCTGCCCTGTCTAATCGGGGCATATGATTCTCAGGCTCAATGATCACCTACCTTGTGGTTTTGGAGGGTGGACATTAGTTATTGTTGTTGGCGAGTCCTCTGTAGTATCTGAACTTTGGGAATAGGGTCCAGTGAGCGCAACATTTTCGGTAAAAATTGTAACGATCTTTATTTATTATCACGAATATAAAATGGGAAAAATATTTTCATTTTCTTTTCAGTAAAATTCATGTCTTTTCGGTAAAAAGTAAAACGTATGTTCTGCATTTGAAAATAAACACTTATAAATCATTTCAGTGATTCCCCTGAAAAAAAACGCCGGCCGCCGCTGCTCTGCGTCAATCGACTGTGACTTGCCAAAGTCGCGCTTTACTCTACTTGTCTTCCTCGGTTGTTGTAGGTGTCGCGTTGCCTTGAAAATATTCCTATCGGCTTTTGAAGACTTACATTTGGATATATAAGCACTACCAACAGGCAGATGAGACGATATAATGCGATAGACATTTGAGCCTCAGTCTGAAATTCAGTTAGAGTTTTTGTGTTGTATTGATAGAGTAGTAGTGAAATAAAGTTGAGTTTAACTGTACATTATGTACAGTTGAACCTTCTGCTTTTTTACTGGAATATTTTGCTAAATTTCGGAGACCTCGTAGTGTCAGTGTAAGAATTGTTGCTTTCTCCTTATTTTTTCCATCCTTCTGCAATAAATCGACCATACAGTTTCGCCATCAAAGGTTGGACTTGTAATAAAACTACTACTAGAAACGACAGATGTTTCCGATTAGCATTTTTCCACAGCGATCCTCTTCAGCTTCAGGTGTTTATTTCCGAAGTTCCCGGAAAAACCTCTTCAAATTATAATTTTTTCAAATTTTTCCTGAATAAAATCCTCAACCTCCCCTTTACTCACTTGAGAAGGTTTTAATTCTTCAATTAACTGAAGGTATATTTGATTGCCTCTTTCTTGTTTCTCCCGAATATTCACCAATAGTTCACGATCTTCCTCTCTGTCTCATTTTTATAGTAATTCACGGTCGTCATTTCGGCGTAGTCGTTCTTCCTGACTTCTTCGTTTTTCATTCTCCGCCAGGCCCGCTTGCAAAGCCTCGAACTTTTTCTTCAGTTCTTACGTCCCGTCGTAATCGATACTTCTTGTTCTCGCAATGAAACAAAAAAATAGTCAATTATTCCACTTCCAACACCAAATGTCACCGTTTTTATACATGGATTCGGCAATAATTGACCACTAGTATACTATACAATTAAACTCAACTTTATTTGACTACTACACTGCCAATATAACACAAACGCTTTAACTGAACTTCTGACTAATTCTCAAATGACTATCGCCTTATTAGCTCACTTCGTAATGCACTTCCAACTAGACTTACTTCTTCTGCCTATTGGTAGTATTTAAATATCCTAATGGAAGTATATCTGAAGTCGATAGGAATCCTGTCGAAGTTACGCGACATCTAGAACGAGAAACGCAAATAGATTCCATCGCGACCTTGGCTAAGTCATAGTCGATTGACAAAGACCAGTGGCGGACGGCGTTTTTTTTTCAGGGGATAATTTACCACATTATTCATTTCCTGTTCCAGTATAGACCTAGAAAATGTTAAGCTTTCTTTTGTGATGAGCTAATTTAGTTTTTCAGTTTCATTTATCACAATCCTGCTGTCCTTTTCTGCTAAGGAATCAGCAACATCACTTATTCTTTCAATTCCATTTTGTGACCTGGTACACATAAAAATATTACTTCATTTCTCTCTACCAGAAATCGTACGTTAAAAGATTACACCTTATAAATCCTTAGCTCGCGCAAGTTTCAACTCTTGATTGTTGTGTGAACTTTATTGTTAGTTCCTGTTCATCAATATAATACAAAAAACATCCAGATCAGATATTCAGCATAATATTGAGCTGTAAACCTATGATCATGTAGCCTTGTTGTCAGATTATGGACAACTAGTGACCACAAAAGAGGCGACAGTATCCCTTCTTTGAAATTAGATAGTTCGAGTCTGTTGCTATGAGCATTAACTCATATCCACCAGATTGGTGAGAGATTCACGATTCGTTCTTTCAGCGATCTGAATGAATTCATATAATGTGTTGTAAAATACTTTCATTATACATATTTTTTTGCAAGAAAGTATTTTTAATGCTTTCAACGGACAGAGCATCAACTGCCAGTCTTATTCACCACTAAACACCTGGTATTATATTGGCCTGAAATCAGACCGTTCAGTTTATATTCGATTTCATTTTATTTGAATAAACATTGCCGATGATTGAATGTATACGCTGCCTCTTGGCTTCTTGGGTCGGCCTTTAACCTTATTACCAGCTACCGTCAAATTTTATTCACTGGAAAGGTCAAGAAAGGTCCGTACGAACATAAGGTTGGTACAAAATCAAAATAAAATATTTTATACATCTTGTTGGAATCTCTAAATCGGTATATAAATGCAGGAAATAATGAACTATTAGGTTGTTTCAAATGTTTTGTACATTTTTATGACTATACTTTGAACTGTAATATCTCAATGAATACCCATTCAATTTAATCGAGATGAGCACCACTTGAATCAGTGCACTTTTGCCAACGTAACACAAGTCGATTGATTCCGTCAGCATAACAATGGCGTGATCGGGATTCGATGAAGTCGACGAAGAACGTTTTTGCTTGGTCCTGATTGGCGAAGGTTCTACCGGTGAGAAAGTTATTGAAGTACTAGTCGGTTGGCGAGGGGTCTCCGGAGACAAGAATCTAGTGTCATGTACTCATGTCATCAAGGCATTGTTGAACGAAACCAAACCTTTTTGCTTTTTTTTATTTTCGAAGACAAACTCGCTGGAGACTGAATCCATTTGAAAAAACGTTCTCAGGAAGTTTATTCCACATGAACGCAGTTCTATAGATGAAAGAGTTCGTAAACAGTGAAGGTCGAGGTATACTGAGTTGAACCTCAAAAACAATGAGCAGCCACAGCTTACATCTGATACGTTCTAGGTGGAATCAAATGTGCCTGTGTCTTGGCACATTTGATTGAACACTTCCTGTGAAAGTATCTATAGATGAAAGACAAATTTCCAACCTTTCTTCGATGTTCCAGGCTACCAAGGTTGCACGTGATGTTCACGTCTCCAATCAGGTGTATGGCTCTTTTCTGGATGGAATCCAGCAACTTCAGGGTATTTTTGGG